ATTTATGATTTGGGGATATTCATTATTCGCTGTTTAGATAATACATGGATACTTTTCAAGGTTTTTGAGGAATGGAAAACACTTACGACTAAAAATTAGACAGGCCCTAGAATTGTATGGTTTGAATAAATTTAAAATAAATGATGAAACGTTTACTCCGGGTACAATTAGCCTACATAATCATACCAACAAATTGAATGGAACATAAAAATGCAAATTTTTGTGGCAATTTTCCTTGGGAATGCGGTCGCAGAGCCGAGCTTATTGACAGCGGTGAAATATTTGTATGCGTGTGTGCCCGCAGAGCCGAGCTTATTGACAGCGCGGTGAAATTTTCGGTGTAAAGCAAATCTGCAATCCATTCATGATTCATCCATCAATACTTCAGTGAAGTTTTAAATCTGCCAGGCAGTCGATTTTCATACACTTCATCAATATTTTTGCTTGACATAGTTCCGATAGTTGAAGTATGTATTGTTGTTTTCAGAGTACATAAGCTCTTTTTTTATCTTACTCTCAAAGTAATAAATAGTGTTACGTATTTTTCTGCGAAAATAAATTTTAATCCGATTCGTTTATTACGTCAGATCGTTATGGTCCATATCAAATAACACACAAACACAAAAAATATGAAAATCACAGTAAAATACCGCAATATCAGCAAATATAACATAAAATTACTGCAAAACACCGCAATAACAGCTAATATAATTTAAATACGTAATACCTCAATGTACCCGATATTTGGGATAAACAGCAAAATTGAAGGATCCAATAACGGCCCCGATTCCATAAGAATCAAATAAGAGTTCGTCATAGGTCCACTTCATATTTAATAACTTATTGGGCCATGAGTAGAATCTGAGATAGCTCGTCACAAACAGTATCTGGAAATCAAATAATGATTGTAACAGGATATTATTTGTATTTCTACCTCTCCTCAAATATAGCCAAAGATTTTTTTCTATGGAGTGCTTCTAATTAGGGAATGTTCCCAGATACTATTCATGTAAAAGTTTTTCACAGTTGTGAAACAATTGACAACATTTTTTAAAATAGTATTGGCTATAAAATAAATCGATTTATATTGACGTTTTAAGTCAAGATCACCTTTGAGATCATTGGAAAGGAAAACACCAAGATATTTAGTGGACGAAACATATGCAAATACAGAATTACAAAGATTGATATCAGGTTAATTACCCAACCTAAAACATCTTACTCTGAATACACATGAAAACAGATTTTTTAGAGTTGTACAAAATGTTATGTTCAGTAGAATATCTTTCACATATGTTGAGTAAGCGTTGAAGGCATTTGGCAGAAGGGGAAATGCAGCACATGCATGTCATCAACACAACAATATGATTGACAATATTGTTATTTGCAACACATCTAATGGCCTCTTAATTCAACTGAATAAAAAGGTCATTCATGAAAACTGCGCAACTCGCGGCGCACTCTTTGGGAAACGCTGTCACAGGCAGCGCCGGATTAACTAATAAACAATATAAGCACGTGCTTAGGGCACCAAGCAAAAGGGCAAACCACAGAAATTTTAGAGAAGAATTTTATATAGTTTATCGATTTTTGTTGTTTTTCCTTCCTAGTATTCTCCTTTTTACTGCATTTTTGTTTTAAAATAATTTCTTTTTTCTCCAACAATTGGACCAATGAACTATTTGCACTATGTGGCGGTTCCACGATCGCATTTGAACGATCTAGTGGTCAGCGAAACCGGGAGTTTTAAATAAACCAGGGTGGTCCAAACCCTGTCATGCTAATACATTCCGTGCGGCTCACAGAACAATTTTAGCGTATATTTGTATCTAATAGAAGAACTTTTTTGAGTTTTTTTCAGCTATTCCAACTGGGGTTGGGATCCCGAGATTCAAATCCTTTTTCTAACGCTTTGTGACTTTATTTTAGTAAAAACACTTCTCTGTTTTCAAGCGTCGGCCATGTGACAGTAGTGACGAAACGCAGAACCGACTTAACGCCGCCCAATCAATTTTTTTTAGCTAGGTCCCGAAATACCAACTTAGACGGACTTCAATTTGAGTTGGGTTGCGCGAGACTAACTTCCTATCTTTTCCCTATGCCTTTATGCTAGTGGATCCGTATGCGTATACTGCAAGGATACTGTAGCTGGAATAAACATGACTATTCTATTCAATTAAAGAGTCCAGCTGCACACTAACACAAATGTATTTCTGTAACGTTTCGTCCGACCAGAGTCAGACTTCCTCAGACAAGCAGTTTACAACAATGGCAAGAAAGAAAATTTGCTAAATCAATTTAGCAAATTTTCTTTCTTGCCATTGTTGTAAACTGCTTGTCTGAGGAAGTCTGACTCTGGTCGGACGAAACGTTACAGAAATACATTTGTGTTAGTGTGCAGCTGGACTCTTTAATTGAATAGATTAGACGGACTTCGTTGGTGTTTGACGATGGCACTAAGCTACTAATTAAATGATTAGAATGGTAAACTCTCGTTGTTTATTGAATTTAAAGTAAGTAAACTTGCGATATTTCCATCACTTTTGAGTTTTCTCCGACTTGCGGCTCGCGAGACCTCCTCAAAAGTTTTTGCAGTCCTTCAACCTAGCAACCTTGAACCACTCTGAGGTAGATTACTAGGAACCGGTAAAATTTCAAACTACAGTTGTGACTTGTATGCTTTGGTATTTCGATTCACGTTGAGACCGGAGGCATGGATCTTTATTGTCACACTCCCTCAGGATTAGAGCTCAACGGATATATCGGCCCGATATTGCGTGTTTGCCGATATATATATATATCATATCGGCAGTAAACGGCCGATATATATATATCTGCTAAATATATACCAGGTAAAAAATCTAAAAATGTTCGCAAAAGTTGTTTTATTTACTGCTGGTTGTGATTTTTTTTAATGGTCAAATACACTTATTAAATTACACATAAAGGGACACCAAAGTCTTCAGTGCTTAGGGCACCAAATGGGCTTAATCCGCCCCTGGTCATGGGTGATAATAAAAAATTCTCATTGTTCCATTTTTTTGACATTCAGCTTTTATTTTTACTCTTCACCATCCTCCTATGCATCATTTTCATTCTACAATGCGTACGAGTTCGAAATGTATAAAACGGGATTTTTGTTTCGTATTCAAAGCATGTCTGCAATCCATTCATGGTCCATCGATCAATACTGGCTCAGGGAAATTTTAGCTACTGCGATTGTTGTGCCTGTATTTTTCACAATAGCTGTGTGTACTCTTTCTTTATGAGTAATCATAAGAGCCAGAACGTACCCAGCACAATTTTTTTTTTGTATAATGACGTGATACGATGATGGCTTTTGGCTCACAATATCTTGAAGAATCTTTTAAGAGTCTTACTTCGCCGTCGAAGTTATTCAAGATATAGGCCTACAAGTGCGCAATTCTTAGTTTGTTCATTTGGTGAAAGGATTTTTGCCAGGAAGACTGAAAAAGTCAGTTTTTTAGTGAATCGCTCAAGAATAGAAAGTAAAATGATGTTGGAAAAGACATAAAAATTTATGACTCACTGTAAATGTCGCAAAATTGCATAAAAAAAATGTTGAAAATCAATTGGTGGGGTGGGCTGTGGCTACGCCTACGCATAAGAGTCATCGTTTCTGTATGGAACGAGCGGACAAATTTTCTTCATAGGCTACTCCGTACGATTTCGCCTACATAATAGTTTCAAAAAAGTGTGTTGTACTTCGATTTTGCTAATGGAAAAAGTAGAATGGAAACTATTTTCTTTCCAATATGCCGATCGTTTGTGGCCGTAGGGCGTAGGCCTACTGTGTGTAAAACGTTTTCAAAACATCCATCGATTATTTTGATAGCGTGTTATATGAATCGTTGAATGACTTACGTCAAAAAAAAATCGCGATTTGACTAGGTCTTATTTTAAAGGGAGGGCTCATATTAAATCAGTTTTAAAATTCAGGCTAGGTCTTATTTTCAGGGTCGGTTTTATTTTCGAGGAAACATGGTAATAATATCTGACCAAAGTTCCAAATATTAGGCCCAGAATTCAAATTTCATTTTGTTCTTGTTTAAATCATTAGCATTCTATTTATAAAAGTTTAGTCTTTTTTTAATATTCGAACACAACTCAATGATTCTCTCATACACACAGGAGTTGAACGTAAATTAACTGCTGTGTTTCCCCGAAAATAAGACCGGGTCTTAGTTACGATTTTCCTTTGAAAATACCATTAGGGATTATATTCGGGGGATGTCTTATACTTTCATTTTTCAAAAACAAAATTACAAAGTAGCAAATTACGAGATTTTCAAATATATAAATATGAAAACCGATACCAGTTTACTTATAAATAACACGTTTTCCTCTTTCATGCGTTTTAGATTAATCGTTTAAAACTTGTAAGAGACATTTCTTGCTATCGACTAGGTAAAAAAAAATTGACTATGTCTTATTTTATGGGAAGGGCTTATATTAAAACCATTCATAAAATTCAGGCTAGGTCTTATTTTCTGGGTAGGTCTTATTTTTGGGAAAACACGGTAACATGGGAGTAAGGGAAGTATTTGTGTTGTTGTTGTTCAAAATATTTTTTCCCTCATTGATTTCAACTATAATTTTTTCTAAATATTCGTGGGACAAGTACCACGTGATTCGTGCTTATTATTAATATTATTTACAAAGCGTTGTATGTCAAAATCTCTACACACCCAAAATTTGGAAATATCATTCCTCCAAAAATGAAAAACTGAGGAACATACTGAAGTCGAAGAATCAACATAGATATTACCGAAAGTCTTTTTGGTTGTTTTTGTGATTCTAAGATGATTGAAAATATAGGCCGGCCTATTTGTAGTGTTTTTTTTCAGCCATTAACCTCCGTACTTTTCAACACTATTATGTAATAAAGAAAACAATAACTCATCAGTTGTGTCGTCATTAGGCGTAAAGTCAATTGTTACATCATAGGAGTAAAGTTTTGAATGACCTGATATTACCGTAGTCTAAATTTTTGGGTTGTCAATGTCGAATGCATTTTACGATTTTGTAAACAATATTTATAAGATGAAGAAATTCCTTTCAAGTTACCTCTCGCCATAAATATTGTAACGCAGAGTCGCCATCCAGCGTTGCAATCGTCCGACATTTTCTCCTTACGTTACGTACCTGCTGGGAAGAAAGAGAGATCGGCCTGGGCAGCGTCGGGATTGGCGTGGGGAAATTGGGTCTCGGGATAATTTAATTGACGTCTAAATAAAGGTGAGCACTAATTTACGTGTAGGTTTACGATATAGAAGTTTTAACGTTAGTCCACAATAGTAATGGTTTGTTAAACTTTGTCCCTCTTGTATTAAACCTGAAACAAAGTGCTGTGGTCAAGTGGGGATTACAAGATTAGGATTAACACGTGAAAAAATTGTTATGCTACGCCTACTACATGTACTAGAAGTACATCAGGTACCGTACGAAACTACATGAGACCCCTGTAGTCTGAGTGTCCATTTGCTGAGTTGTGTGTCTGACTCAACTGTATGAATTGTTAATGTTCTTGAAACATGTAAGATTCTGTAACATGGAATCTAAGTTCTGAAGGTACGGTACCGCTGTACCGGTACCGTACAGAGCTAAAATGTCAGAATGTTGGAGTTTGAAAGGGACTACAGGTTATGTCTGCATGTAGTTTCGTACCTACAGACCTAACACAGTAACATACTTCTAGTGGGCGTAGCATAACATTTTTTTCACATGTCAATCCTAACCCCCACCTTATTACGCCATCCAAAAATTACGTCACTACGACGTCACAGTGCAGCAGTGAGGTAATGGAGCCTTTCATACTATTGAACTATACCGGTACGAACTGCCATCCAAGATGCGCAGACGACCACCCGAAATCGAACTGCTGTTTCTCTCGTTTTCTCGACGCTATGATCCCAATAGGAGAGAGATCGATGAAGTTATTCAGTTCTTTATCGTCATCGCTGATGCCATTTCGGACGATCGGACGTATATTTGGCAAGTACTATGATGGGATTGTGATGTCGTAATGACATAATTTTTGGATGGCGTAGTCGAATGGGGGTTAGGATTGACATATCAAAAAATTGTTATGCTACGCCTATTAAAAGTACGTTAGGTACGAAACTACACGAGACCCATGGACCACTTCCAGACTTCACTGCCACTGCTGACCCTACCACTTGGCATAGTCTGGTATTGCTGTAGTGAGAATCATTGAAATTTTGAAATGTGGCCCATACAGGCCATAAATTGTTTGTGTTTTGTTTAAATTGAACTAGTTCAATCTTTTCACCACAATCTGACAATTCTCTGCAGATTTTTTTCAACTAATACAACATATGGAAATTTACAAGAACTAACAAGCAAGTTGCAGCAGAAGAATTTACCAGCAAACTAACATTACATTCAACATTTTTACATTTTGATTGTGTTGGCAATTTTTTAAGGTATGTCAAGTATGCTAAAAGCAGTCTATACATGTTATCCACATCCTGTGTCAATTTTTATTCATTCTACTCATAGCTTGCCCATCCTGAAAATTATCTTGCTCATTTGACTTAGATTCAATACCATGTTGAAGGATCATACACAGACAACTGCTGAAATTTTTATTATCTCAGGTGGTCTGGTTCCACTGTTGGCCTCAGCTTCTTCCTCAAATTTCTAGATATAAACCAGTGAAATTATCGAAGGATACTACAAATCATTGCTTCACTAACTTAATATTAGACATCCACTTAAATATTTTGTTGGTAAATCACAAAGTTTTGACATTCAGCAGCAATCTAGCATGGCACACCTATTTATAAAAATTGCCTATGAGCTAAAAAAGACAATATGAATAGGGTTCTGCTTGACTAACCAGAATTCCTGACCATGCAATGTTTTCTTTACAGTTTCATCCTCAATTTTGAAATCTGAGCATCTGTCTGCAAACGCTCCTATTTCTTTGTGTAGTGTCAATACATTCTGTTTTCGCTCTTGAAAAATATGTTGTGTCAGTGTTATCTTTTATTGGTGTACTGCACATAAGTGTACTAAACAATATGGATTGATTAGTAATCTAGTTTTGTTTACCATATAACATTGCCTTATACAACCCAGCATATAAAAGGCTTTGTTAGCATTACCATTATAACATACCAGTTTGTATACGCTGTCATAATGTTTCTTTCTTCAAACTCATTGGATTCACTAATGGATGAAAGATCATCTTTTGTGGTGAACTAACTGTTGGTACTTTTTGTAACGAGATATTTATAACATCCATATTATGTACCATAAGTACGTATGTGGATTAGATTGTCATGATCTAATAGCATGTATGGATGGATAGTTCTTGAAACAATGATAAAATTTTATGCGATAAGGAATTCATAGAGCCGAATATGCTATAAAATATTTTAGTCATGTCATGTTCAAATTAGAAATATAGACATTATACAGTGATGATCTAGATTATCAATCAACTATTTAATATTTTTCAAGGGCGCAGTCAGGACCTTTCCGGCGGAGGGATTATGGTGAAACTAAAACATTTCACCAAAAGTACAATTCACGACGACGTAATGCGTTTAATAAACTAAAATATATGGTCGTTCACGGCGAAATTCCACAGTTACGTATAGCCCCCGTCTCTTTGCCTGGCGGTGTTTGGTGAATATTTTGCAGTCCTGTTTCAAACATTGGCCATTAATCCGTAGTCAGTGGGTACCCACATTTAGAAATAAAACATTTGAAATCGCGAAAATTAATTTAGAGAGAGCTATAACTTGCAGATGTCAGTAGTATCATAATGGTTTATATGTACAAAAAAACTCTCGTATGTAGCGCTGATCAAATGCACGAAATGTGAAACTGTTACATGGAATTTATAGTTACCGGTAATTGAGTTGATTTTCTGTTGCCATACAATGATTATTTAATTGCGCCGTGGGTAGTGGCGGGTGATCTTATTTTTTGAATTGAGTTATTCGATTGTTTTTAACGAACATCGAATAATGAGTATTGTCATTTTGAACAACATTAAATGAAATGTCGGCCGCCGAAACGATCGTCGTGAAAATAAATATATTGTTTTTTTTTGGATTTTACTAGAAGACTGAAAACTCCGTGACAATGAGGCATGTATATCTCAAATTTTGTCATAATCGTCGGCAAAATTAGTATCATGTCTGTTTCATGGAGCGAAAGGAAAATACGCCTTTCGGAATTGCAATCAACAATTACAAATTCTTCTTTATCATTATCAGCGCCGAATAAAAAGATAACTTAGCGTGAAGACAAAAAAAGTACGGCGGTGTTAATTGCGTTACAGTGATAACGCACAGAATAATATTGTCTTGACCGCGACACCCTGATGCAGGATCGTAAAGCGACGCTTTTGTTTTTTTGTAGATGAAATTTCATATCAAAAATTTTTCTCAAACGGGGGTTACGACTCATGTGAACTCATGTTGTGTTTAAATATAAATACATAGAATAGAATGATGTCTATATGTTGAAGATATCTATAAATGAGATCGCTGTATAACTCTCGCTGCTTCAACGAAATTTTTGCATTGGTACAATGAGCATTAGTTTTTATGCTGATAATGTACCAAATAATAATAATAAACTTTGACATTGAGAATATGAAAAACAATAAGTAGCAACACACATACTTCATACTCCATACTTCTAAACATTACACTCTAAATTTGGCTGGATCATAGTGTTCTGACATTCTAAATTATGTTATTGTGATAAATATATCTGCAAAGTTTAATTTTCCCTGAATGCTGTCAAAGATAATATTTGTTCAGAATTTTTATTACATTTTCATGTAAAGTCATCTTTAAAAAATATTTATTTTAACAATAATAATCTTGTTGCAGTCTTTTTGTTTTGAACTTTTTTAATACAGATTTGATTTGCTGTCACTCATCATAATGAGGATTATATATCTAAAATTATGTTTCTTCAAAACTCAATTATCTGATAATTTTGTTAAAAATATGAACATTGAAAATTATTTCGAAATGAATTATTTTTACAGACATTTCCAAAGCCTCCAATGATGTGGATGAACACGAACCAACCCTCACCCATCACACCACTCGGAAGATGGCCAGATGGACAATTTCCCAATAATCAATCAGTCCGATCAAATTTTGGAAGTTCAGGTTTCACTTATTTGAATTGCATTTACCAAAGTTACATAAGATAAAGTTATTCTGTGCTTTGATAATCATGATTCTTACATAAAATATGAACTTAGTGACATTCTATAAATCAAACAAACTCTGTACTGGTAGTCAAACCTGTACAAGCGTAGCCAGTAACATACTGTAGGTTACTTTTGCCGTTCACTGATAATATTGAAAGACAGCGTCAAAGACGGTGGATTCCAAACTCCAAACAAAATTTCAATTTTTCTTAAATTAGAAATTTGAACCTCAGGTGTCGCTGCTCGATAACCAGCTTTGGTTCCCCGCGATTTCCCTTCTCCAGTAAAAATGTGTAGTGTACTTATCATTTTCTCGTAATTTGTGCTCGATTGTTGTTGATTTTACTGGTTGAGAAAAAAATTGACTTGACTTGAAACCAATGTCTCTGTATCGATACGATAGCTGTGACAAACTGAAAAACTTGGATCATTCTGTTTTGTAGCTTTGTATTTCAAACTGAATTTTTCTTGTTGGGAAGAAATCATAGGAAGTCTCAATGATACAAATGAATGAACAATTAAACCATTCACAAATCTATTTTAGCCGGAAGTATTGCTCTAACTACACAGCAGAAGGCTTTGATCACAGGAGGAATCAATAGCAGAAATGAAATAAAAGAAAAACAACTTCAGGTTTTTTATAATAACCAAGTTTTATACTTATTTGACATAGAAAGCTTTATCAGCAAATGCCTACAGGTTTATTCGAGATTCAATAATTGCTATGAATAATTTATTTTGGGTTAATCAGTGTTACCCCTGTGAATTTATGTAGGAGGAAAAAACGATTTCCTGTTTTGAGGTAGGGTTCAATTACTAATGAAATAACTAAAAATTTGGTCTCTGGTTAATTTTGTTGCATTTTTCACAACTCAAATTCTTCATCATCGTCATACTCAAATCCAAGGCGGATCAAAAGTTTACGCAGAAGGAAGAAAATTTATTGGCAAATCTGCGTCTTGTGGCAGACTTGAATCTTTATTAAATATATCATTAAATTATTAATGTTATTATAATATGACTAATTTATATATGGCATATTGATTGTGGGCCAAATGCTCTCAGTATCACAAGATATTTTGGCGAGTATTATTATATGAAATTTTGGTGAAAACTGAAAACGAGTCCATTCTTCAAAGGTTATTTCGGTAGATCATTTTTTTCCAAGTCAATCATGACCAATTTCCTGAAAAATTATACATTGTTTAGCTTTTTAACTTCTTGCAATCTATGCAAACGTTCAACATATTGTTGACTATGGAGCAAATTTTTTGAGCTGTAGAACCTACAAGACTTGCAATAAAACCTATCTATGTAAAAAAAATGAACGCATAAAAGAAAAAAGGGATATTTTAACACAATAATGGGACCTCCTGAAGTATGCGCACCAAGATGGCGCACAACCTGAACTCAGGTTAAGTACCAGGTTAGGGTTCAGGTTAGGTTTCATTGTTGACTATACTATGAAAATATTGTGTACTTTGAAATATTTTACGATATACAGAGAAATTGCATTTGATAGGTAATTTTATGTTGGTTTATAACAATGCAAATATTTACAAAATGGGTTTAATTTATAGTCAAAACTATATATGTACATATTTTTGTGCTTTGATTTTCATAAGCGGTTTACATATCATTTTCTTCGTTTTCATTGTTTGGTATGAAAACTATTTGTTAAAAAATCATTCCATTGATGACTCTTTAGTCTTTGCTATTTAATACTTTCAATGTTTATATTTTCGTAATCTGAGCCATTTGATTTTGGTCATGGACTTTCGCTTTGTGGTCAAAATGGTTAGAAGAAATGGTCTAAACTAGGTTAGAAAAAAAAATATTCTTTATATGCGAAGGTAAGAAAAATAAAAAATTGGTGTCCACGCACGGTGATCAGCGATCATGCTCATTTTCCATCTCCAATCTTACTTTAAGTCGCGTGCAAAGTATGGACTAGCAGTGAACTTCGTATCAAATGTCGTTTATTGCCTATGCTCTTAGCCAATATGTGTATTCCATAATTTGTTTTTGGTTTGTCACATGACAATATTATGGTTGATTGATTATCAAAAGGATATTTTATGAATATGAGGCGTAACACTTGAATTCTGGAATCAAATTAAAGTAGTGATCGACATCATTGGTCTTTTTCTGTTCATGTTATTATTCTTAATCAGTAACAGTTCATTACCAAATGTGAAACAATATCTGGGCACAATGCTGTTGCATAAATCATGAGCCCATATCATATCCTAGATATATAATGCATCTGTGGGATACATATACAGTGTTTTTATATTAGTCCCAACTCCCAATATAATACATTATAATTATATTGTAAAAAATTAATTGAAAAATAAAATTTGATGTGTGTCTATAAAATGGTTAAGATTGCAAGATTAAGTATAAAAACACATCAAATTTTACTTTTTTCATGAAAAACATCCATTTTTATTTTTTTTACTAATTCTTAGCTATTTTTCAATAACTTTCAGCCATCCCATCGCACACTGTCGAGAACAATAAGTTGTGGAGTATTTCCATCATCGAGTGGATTGAGACCTTCTGCTCTTAATCAACATCGAGCCCTGCAGGTTTGTCATCAAACCTTATAGGCAATCGCTTTTCTTTCCCATATTCCATCTAAATTATTTAATAACCAAATAAAAAAAATTAAATATTTTGAATTTGTTTACTTATGGTTTTAGTGCCATTGCAACAACTTTGTTGTGTCCATGCTGGCATCTTTCCATAGTTTGAACTTTTTCAGGAGTATCTAAAATACATACGCAAAAGTAAATCATGCTTATGAAGTATCAGCTCTGAGCTTCACCAAACTATCAACAACTACTAAAATGTATCCAGTAATTATTGAGACTGTAGACATACAAGAAGAACATACCGGTACTTTCATTTTATGCAGCGATCAACGAGTTATGACAGCAATCATCGAATGAACCAAACAATGCCGGCCTTGGGGTCTCGTCCCTCTGGTCTGTCTCCTACGACTAGCCCCTCTCCTGCAGGACTTAGTACATCCACCAATGGATATAGGAGCCGAGAAACTGGTGTCATAGAAAAGCTTCTGCTCTCTTATGGATTCATTCGATGTGCAGATAGAGAGGGACGTCTTTTCTTCCACTACAGCCAGTTCCATGGAGAAGCACATAATTTGAATATCAATGGTAAAACTACTTTTTATGCTCATGAGCAAAAAAGTTATTACCTAAATATAAACTTAAAATAGGTAATATAGGGGTAAGGGGCGCAGTGAGGAAATTCACATACTATTTTTGCCACCACCCCTCTGGCTATGGAAATGATGTAATACATCTTAAAAAAATTAATATCGAAAATATTTTTTAAATTTTAAAGGAATTTTGCTATGATTTATTTTAATTTGTTCACCTTTTTTTATACAAATTATTATTTATCGTTAGTTTATTGTTTGCTTTCAGATGAGGTTGAATTTGACGTTTCTATGGATACTAGAACTGGCAAACCAGTTGCTGTACAGGTCGTCAAATTGAAGAAAGGAACTGTTGTTTTTGAAGTCTACAGCGAAGAAAGAATTCTCGGCGAAGTTGCGAACGCAGCAGCACAAGGAGGGCAATGTCCACAATCGCCAATGTCACCCACTGTAAATGGTTTCAAACCTGGAGAAAAGGGTGAAACTACCCCCGGAGGAAAATATGGAAGCTTGTGCTATGACAGAATGGGGGTGAGTCATTATAAAGGAACATGTTTAAATAAAACTCCCGACATAATAGAGGGTTAAATTTAATTTAAATAATATTAATGAAAAAAAGTGTTTGTGAAAAGTGATTTCTAATCATTTATCTCATTAATAGTAGCTTACTTGACCAAATCAAATTCTATGTCTCAGAAACCATCATTTTAAAAAAGTAACGATTCATATTGCTTGGTGTTATTGATCATTCATCCCCCCTTGTTAGGGATGCTCAGCTTCTGATTTTCATAGCTTTTGTCCTGATTTTGAGTTCACTGAATTCATTTGCTTTCAGCAAAGTAACGATAATGTGTTTAAGTCATTGTGAACATCATTGACAGTAATTAACTTTTATTATTACTCCTCATTCATTATAAGTACCAATTTTCAATCAACTCGTGCTATCCTAATCTTTGCATGGCCCTAACTTAAATTCTAATTATGAAATTACCAAAACAGCAAAAGTTAAATGGAAAACATGGACAGATTAAAGTAAGGATCTTAAAGCATGATTTACTATTTTTGGCTGGTTTTTATTTTCAACTTGATTATACTTTATTTCAGTGGTTCTCAAACCTATTTCTACCTTCACCCCTTTACAGCACTTTATACATCATCTTTGTCCCGGCAATTTAAAAAAAAATATTACGATACAAAAATTTTTTTTGCAAACCCATTTATTTATTAATAAACAAGCGGACTAATCATAGATCATGGGGTTTTTCAATGGGACATACGAAGCTTGCGGTATTCTAAGACAATTTAGTTACAGTCTTATTAAATTACCTCGTTTGTTTGATGGAGAGGTGATTTCTTTGTTTTGATAGGAATTTCTGCCATATAAGATGTTGGAAATGAAATAGTTGGAAATGAAATAATACATGGTTCTATTCTGTCAAGAATGAGTGGATATTTGCCTGATGACTTTCGCCAAAATATATCATATTTATAGGTCTACTTATTATTTGTAAAAGTCATTTTGGTTTCGCGATAATTCTAATTTCATTCGGAATTTGCTACCCCAATCCCTTCTCCAGGTTTTTGCCACCTATTGTGTCTCTTTTGCCCCTAGGAGGCAATACTGGCCACTTTGACAATCACTACTCTAATTGATGTCTTCTCTGCATTTGAACTTTTTTAACATTTCTGAGTCTAAATTATATTGTTTGGTTATATTGTACTGTATAATATATTACAATGATCGCCAGAAAAATTTGAAACATTAGATTCCTAATTCAATAGTTTAATATATTATAATCAGATATATTCCAAATTCATTGAATATTCGAATCTATTCAGAATTAGTTATACATAATGACCCAAAGAATTAGGTCATTTGGGAGAGAGTATAACTAATGAAATAGTTCTTTTTCTAGATTACTGAAACTTTTGGGTACAATCATGCACAAAGTTCGAGTGTTCAATAGTTTATTTTCGTAAAAGTTATTAGGAATTTTATGGGTTTTGTTTTAGGGTCACTCTGTATTCTTTCATTCTCTTAGATTTAGGAATTATTTAAAGTGAGGATAGTTTGATTTGTAAAATTGTAATTTCGAACCAATGAGACTTTCATTTATTTTTTGAAATATGTAAAAATGAGATCTAATAAAATCTGTTTATCTCGACTTTCCTGCATCAGATTGAAAAGTATTATTTAAGAATATATTTTAAATAATGTATTATTTTGTGTCATTCATCATTGATTGCAAACCATTGCCCAAAACCATGGGTAGCTTACCCTGAGTAGGTTGGGTGGTGAGGAGAATGAATAATTATATTCTACAGCATATTAATTTAAAATGTGTATTGGGCGTGTTGGTTTTTTGTTTATTTGAATTAAACTCTCTCTACGTCACTATGAAGCATTGTCTTTATTTTATTAAAAATTTACTATGTTTATTAAACATCAAGTCAATAATACAATCAAGTTAATAAAAAAATCTGTCAGGTCTACTATTTGGAAAATTTTGAAGCGAAACACCCTATTATATTTGATTCTTTTCTTTTGTTTTGATTAATTTTCGCAGAAATATTCAAAGATGGAATGTCTCCATTCCAATATTTTGGAATGATTTTTTGCTTTTTATCTCAATTTTCAACTCTTTAAATTGATCCATTTTCAACAGAAGTTTTACTGAATTTGACATAAATCATGATTGTCTCAAAACATGTTTGCTTCATATGTGACATCTTCCTAATTCTTGATAAATTTATTTGAATGGCAATTATTTTTGTTCTAATTAAATTACAGTATTTGTAACAATATATGAATACTTAACTCAATTACAAGGCTAGAATCTAAATGAATTAAGTTGCAAATATATTATATCTGAAACAAACAAGTACATTATCGACAACTCAGTAACCCAGTGTAATCCATATGCTACACTGGGTACAGCTCATTTTCATTTTTGAGTCTAGTACATGTTATATAATTTATCATCTTAATCATCTATTTTTTAGATGAATTTAATTTCCCTACAAGCATATATAAGTATAACATAGTTAGCCATCAGATAATAATTTTCATCAAATTATATAGGCTAGCGAACAAGGTTAATTTTTCATGTAAACCATACAGGCTCAACATATAATTATTCAGATTTATTTAACCACAAAGATAATTAGGGAGACAAACTGAAATGTCATCATCTTTCTCCGTAAAATTTAATTTTACTAATTATAGCTGATGGTCCTAATTAATTTTTTTATTAAGTTTGGGTAATTTTGTGTTGCAGGAAGTGTTTTTTCTGCCCTACTCTGTGAATGATTTGACAAACAAAAATCTTCAACTTCAACCTGGGGACAAAGTTTCCTTTTATATTGCTACTGAAAAAAGGTATAAAAACGATGATAATTGTGTTCATAAGTAAGAATTAACACTTTCGTTAGATCTATTTTATTTTCTGATTGTAGTCTGATAGTGAATATGTAATTTGTGAGAAAGTGTTTTTGAAAAAATGCTATTTATATAAGATTTCCGTAATAATTGTTTTTCATTTTGTGCTGTTACTTAGATAGGTATCAATGAAAATACAAACGATTATATAATAATAATGATGATACTTTTTGCTTTATAAAAGTGTAATCCACCAAATTGATTGGAAATACAAACGTTTACAAAAAAATTTTCAAACCCCCTAGCTCTGAGTCTGTCATATAGAAGTAACCTTATTTTAATTTGATAGGTCTATGTTGATCTGTCATAGAAATCACCACACATTTCATAAATGATTATTTCACTCCGATCATGGCATATGTCATTGTATTAATAACACTGAATGAAATTTTCTTTTGCTTGGAACATGACTTTATTCAATATCAATCCTCTTTGTATGGTTATAATTCAAATTTTTCATTATGTTACAATCTTGAATTAGATGTACCGGTAAATGAATTTTACCTGTGATTTTGAATATTGAAAAAAATTTATATATTTTTAGAACTGGAATACTTCGAGCACGTAAAATCACACTAGTTGAGAGAGCTCCCCCTAAAAGATTTATCGGCATTGTTACTGCAATGAAGGAATCATTCGGATTTATCGAGAGGGCAGATCTTGTGAAGGAGGTGATTTTATTTTTTGTGTAGTTAATGATAGATAGTAATCCCCGAAGTACTCAAAATGAAATTTTCTTGTTTATAAAATATATTTGTTTTCATTTTGTAATTGAATAATTTCAATGTTCTTTCAATCCGCACACTTTTTTATTTGACCGTCGTTCTGTTGTTACTCTTTTATATGTGCTATGGCTATATGTCCTTGCAATATGTTATAAATTAGCTAAAACATTCACTTTTTTAGATATTTTTCCACTACAGTGAAGTCAGTAACAATGTACCGGATCTTCATGTTGGTGATCATGTTGAATATTGTGTGCAGGACAGAAATGTGAGTATCATAAACACCAGATCTATGGTGTTTCAGGTATAAGTATAAGAAATGCCAAATTTTCTGCTGTAATAAAAACATCATAATATGATAGTCATTGTTTGATAATTTACATGGGTTCTTTTAATTTTCCGAAAACCAGAGGGCCAAAAAGTCCTAACGGGATGGTGGTAATATACCAAAAAGCCTTGTTGGCTATGGCGCTGGGGCCCAGGTCCAAGATGAAAATTGATATTTCAAACCAACTCTCCCGTCCTGCCGAAAACACCCACTTCTGGTATAGTCAGTGATACTATTGTGATATTATTTTTGAAGTTTTCTGTGAAAAATACCAAATATAGCTGAGGTATTGTTAATTCAATATTGGTTGTGATTTCTTAGTCTTCTGAATAGTTCTGTTATATTAATAAATCTCTTTTCATTTGTCAATCGGCTGATCAATATCCCAATTGTTTAGGGGAAAGAGGTTGCAACAAACATTCGGCTTCTTCCACCTGGATCCGTTCAACTTGAAGAAATATCGAGCGAAATATTTGTTGGAATCGTTGAAAGACCTCTCCCACCCAAAGCTCCCAACAAATTGCCGCACAATCAGGTTTCAATAAATGTTAGAAATTTATTGCTTTGTTTTATCTTATCTATTTTTGATCGGTTTTAACCTTATGTAAGAGGTGTCCAAAATGAATGAAATTTATTTATAATCATCTGTAGTTATGCTCTTGTAGTTGAGCAACAGACTGCTGGACCAATACAGTTTTGCCAAATTTGAAAAATATTTGATTTTGCACGTTTGAAAATATTTTTTTAAAATGTATTCGGAATAGTATTTCATTCAGCTATAGCAATCATAAATTTCTTACTCGGCTTGTTTATAATATTGCATTTCAACTATGAATTATGAAGTTTTTTCACTTAGACAATATCTCTTGTTTAACAAATTCCAATATTTTACCTATGACCTGTGGTCAATTCACAAACTCCAACTGAAAATCTGGAATAAATAACAAATTCAAAACAAAATAATATTTGCATTAATCTATTTGGTTAATTTTGGTTGAGTACCAATATTTTTATTTTTTTTAAGGTTGGACTGTAATGTTTTTGGACAGTGTACCTATGGATTGTTTTACAAATTTGTTGGGTTTGTTGTCATTGTGAAAAACAGGGTTTCTTCACAACTTCATAATTTTCAGGATTGATGATGGAAGAAGCTGCTAAAAGGCTATTACCCTAATTTTATCAAATTTTTTACGAGACCTATGGGCCGCAGTACTTCAATCCAGATTTTGCCAGTTTTCACATGCACATCTTCAAATGACATCAGGCGCATTTTTTTCAACATATGTCTATAATTTTGCTGACATTGCTGTGACCATACTAGTCATTCAACTTTTCAGTCATATATTTAGCATTTTTTCATTGTTTTTAATGTAGATGAGTAATGCTGGTGGTGACGCAACCACAATGGCAAAAGCTAATGGAAATCTTGGTCTTCAACCACAACAACCTACTGTTACACTTGCTGGAATAATCCAATACACATCACCACTTGGGGAATCAAGAAAAATTCGATTTGGTGAAAAAGATAGAGCTGCTAACTGTGTGTACACTCTTTGCAAGGGGGATAAGGTCATTTTCTTTTTTTAACAAATCATTTGGCTGTTACTGTAGTCATTTACAGGCTAGTGTTTATCTCTTTCTTCAAATCTAATTTTTTTTAACAAAAGCATTGGTACCAGGCCCATCCATAGCCATAAAGTATCATAATTTAAGTGTGTATTCAACTTATGAAACTGATAGTTGATTTTATCATCATGGTGAAAATTACTGTGCATAGCAATAGCATATGCCAAATACTTAAATCCAAATATGACTTTCTACACTTTGCGTACACTTGCGGTATTGGTAGTCTGGTGAAAAAGGAAATTGGAACTTTTTGTACAGTCATAAATCGGTACAATATCAACACAAATCTAGTAAGAGGTGTTTATATATTTTTCTCCAGATGTCATAGAGCATTTTAAAATCATGAGAAGAGTTTCAATGTCTCTTGATCACTAAATGTCCTCATAAACGAATTCTGAGGCAAATAGGAACAGCCTTTTGATTGTGTGAACCACTTTTGTCCAGTTAAGCATCAACAAGTTGTGTCAACAGAACAATCATAATTTTGACTTATATGTGATGTTTTTCACTCTAAATTCAGGTTTCATTTTTGACTGTGACTGATAAAAGAAATGGACAACAACGTGCGGCAGGCGTCAATTTGTTGTTGAAAGAAACCTTGGAGATGAGTGGAGAGAAAAGAGAGATGGTGAATAGGATATTTCATTTTACTAACACTTTCATGATGTCTTTTTTAATGATGCCCATTACACGTTTTGCTTGAAGGTCTTACAAGGCCTGCTAGATAAGGATGTACTACTTTTAAAAGTATCAGAATTCAGAATCTTTCTAGTTCAGCATTATCTACCCAATTTATTACAAACTGGGGCAGTTGTAGTGATAGGATTTAGACCTATGATATGTAATCTGTGATGCCCGCACAGTGAAATCCAATGCTTAGGCTCAAGACCTTCTTGATACATTTATAACCATAATGTTCAGAAATGAAGGCCATTTTATAATCCTTTCCAAATATTACTTTGGGTTGATAGCTGGACCAACTTCAAATATTAATCAATAAACTATGCCATTATCGCACTGTTTGGATAAGATTCTGTCAATACAATAATAGGAATAACCATGATCATGTATGTTATGACAGGGTATTGTTGCTGCTGTAAAAGAAGGTTTTGGTTTCATCAAATGTCTGGAGAGAGATTCACGTTTGTTTTTTCATTGTTGTGAATTGCTCGATCCTAATCATTGCGTAAGAATGTCTGATGAAGTGGCATTCACAGTCCTAAATGATCCTGTTGCTGAGAAACACAGGTTTGTATGATGATGGAAAGTCAAGTTTTTCTTTATCCTGTAAAATATATGTAGAATCATTAATTCTTCTATGAATTCTTATACTTATGGATTGATTTAAAAATCATTTTTGCTCAGGTTGTGAGTGCTACAACACTCGCTTATTTGAACTTTTAACATCTGGATAAAAGTGATATGTTATTCATATGCATGTTACATACTTTTCAGATTACACGCTACAAGAATCACTGTACTTCCTAAAGGAACAGTTATATTTCACACAATGTCTGAGAAAACATATACTGGAGTTATTGATTCTATGCCTGGCACTCCAATGAGCATCGGGTAAATTTGTTTACTCATCGTTTTTGAATGTGGGTCCTATGGATCATTTATTTTTTTCTTTTCAATTTCCAATTTATAATATTTAAAGACTTATTAATAGGTATTCGTCTCATGAATAATGCTTTGATTAACCATTCTCCTCCTTACCAAATCAGTATTATTGTAAAATTTAGATTTAATAATTTTTCATTTTATCAGATCTGACTGTCTTATCAGTCCTGCACTTGGACCTAACCCTGGTTTTATCAGTTATGAAGATGATCCATCTCCTGGATCTAGTGTTCAGATTCCTTTTTTGATGAAAGATTTTGCAGAATGGACTGAAGCTTCCACAATTGCTATCGGAAGCATGGTACTGTGTTCTATTGGTTCCACTTTATCAATCAACGAGAGGATGTTTGTTTTCTGATAGAGTTAACGATTCCAATATTGGCTTCAATTTGGAAAATTTTTAATCTTACATTGGCGCGGTGGTGTGGCCCATCGTGTTAAGCGGTAGGAATATGCTCGCCACCGCACCTCTGATTACTCTGTGTGAGTTCGCAGGTTCGAATCCCACACGGGGATAGTTATGTGCAAGAGGGATCGCTGGACTCCTCGCCGCCATATGGTGCTTCATGTAACCGCTGGTCAGTTACGGCTTCCTCCACCACCAAGTCCATGCTTTCGAAAACAAATAATACCTAACTAATCTCATACCCAACATAGACTGCTAACCGGATGAAAGGCTGTTGTTCGCCATATGGTTAAACCATCTTATCTCTCCCCCAGGATAAATATGTAAATCCTATTCTATCCCTACATCATTTTCGATAGTACGAATTAAAATTTCAATTACACTTTTCTAATGACCAAGTATTTTTTTAGGTTCAGTTCAACATTTGTACCTTGAAACGTACTGGTGCAAAGAACGCCGTCGAAATCAGATTGATGGGATCTCCTCGACCTCTAGAAAAAGCCACCACTGATATGATAAGAGATATTGTTAGCGGATTGTCTTCACTTGATACATCACTGCCTCACACAAATGCTAATACTTCTCCTCCTGCCTCTACAACCACACCTCGTACTCCAATCATGTCTTCACCAATGAAAATGGTGCCGTTGATTGAAGATGGTACGTTTCAGACTATTCGATTCAATGAGAATAATTTTATATATGATATATATGTAATGTTATTGTGCATAACTGTCATTTGAATTATTTGAAATTTTTTTATAGCTCCAAAATTGTGTGTACCAATATGGAGTTAACTAATTTTGTTCACCTACTTTACATCAAGTTGTGTAAAGAGACGGAAGCCTATGGGCAGGGGATATATTCACTTGGCTAACACAGACAGTCCCTGCACTCGTAATGGAACTAAAATAATGAAAATTAGAATAAAATCATAGCCTATCCTTAACCTGGTACGCACACTACGGGAGTACCAATTTTTTAAGTTAAAGTAGTTATTCGGGAATCATGGCTCATGGGTGAAAATTTGATTTAATAAAATGTTCTATCTTCGTTTGTTACAATGATATTAATTAGGATTTTTTGTAACTGGTCATTTTTCACATGATTTTCTTCACCTATGAAGCACAATAGTTATTTAATTGCGAATAATAAGATATATCACTGTCATTTCCAGTTTCACTTGTGGCTCCTGCCTTCAATCTGGGCCCAACTCCACCAAGAAAATCGAAATCGAGTGCCATGGTTTCTAATTCTCCAACTGATTGTCCTTCCAGTGCAATGTCACCATCTCATGATATTAATACTTCGTCTTCTAGAAATGCCTTGTCATCTTCAAACGTGAGTTATTATAGCATTAGCGTATCTTTGCTAGTTGTCATCAAGAGTGGCAGTGGGCACTAGGGAGTAGGGATAGAGTCATAATAAGGTCCAATTCATAATTGAAGTTTTATGTATTTAATGTGTAAAATATTTTCATTCTGGTATCAAACTTGAGATTTATTGTTCGCATTGGTCAAACCAAATTTTATTCATATTAAAACAAGATTGGTTCAACTTCCATGAACCAAGCCTTTTAAAATAAGAAATATTATCTGACACGATATTATGTAAACTAATGAAATTAGATTCTACTGAATATTCCACATTGTTTTGTTTATTTTTATCTATTATGCAGTAATTTATTGACGACTATTGAATTGACAGTATTAAATAACAAAATTTAACAGGACATGGGACTAGCTAAGTCCAGTAGACGGTATGAGGCAGTAATTTGGAAGGTTCTCAAAATATATTATAAAATTATATATGAATCTCATATACTAGTGAATCTAACCTGGCATGAAATGGAATCAAAATTCTGAATTCCCTGGAGTCATGTCAAAACTTTAAATTTTCAATAGAGATGAAAAAAGTCAAAACTTTACAGAAACTCAGAAAGCACGATATTTACTATACATTCGCAAAAGTCTATTAAAGAAAGCTTGCATGCTGCAAAGTTTATATTATCAAAATTTCATTTTCTCAAGAGTCGGCAGCTGGAGCCAAAATTTGTTCAGTTGTTTTTGTCTGAATTTGTTGCTTGTAGCCTAGTAGGTAACCTCGGCAATATGTTATATATCCACTTCTATTCTACAGAATCTGGTTGATGATAAATCCAAAAAAGTTCTCGGATGGATAAGTACTTTGAAAGAAACTTTCGGATTCATTGAAACAGCAGATCACGGTTCAGAAATATTTTTTCACTTCAGCGAGTTACAAGATTCCCCTGAAAAGTTCAATGTCAACACACCAGTTGTTTACATAAAGGGAGTAAAAGGTAGGAAATGAAAATTACTTTTGTTCAGTAGTCAAATGGATGGAATTTTCTTCATTTCAATGTGTCAGTTATTTTGTTACAGTCGAATGATTTGTACGATATATGCCATCTTTTTATTCTAAAATTCTGGATTCATTTTTGGCTTCACTTACTATTTATTGCCTTCTCATCTGTGGCCATTTTAGAACTAATACATATAAATTCAACATTACAGAGGATAAACCATGTGCAATGAATGTAACTATTGCCAATGAAAAAGAAGATTTATTTCATGAAGTCATCGATCCTACTATATACAACGGTATGAAGGATGTTTTTAAAGATTTATTTGACTATTTATATTAACAATGGTTTCTATTCGATGATTTTAGTCTGGTCTTGAATAAATTTGTGCACACCATTCTAGTGATGTAGTAAATCAGATTAGTAGGTATTTAATTGTTTCTCCCGAAGCAAGCTGCTTATTTTATAACTTTTCATAACCTTGATTCAGATTTTGATTTTGTTACATCTGGCTTAATTGTGTCGTATTTCGAATGTTTGGTTGTTGATAATTTTTCAATTTAATCATTATAATAGGTGATAACTTAAAATATTCATCAATTTGTTTTCCTAGGTATAGTGATAAAACCTTTGAAATCCGGAAGTTCAGTGCAACCCGCATATCAAGGAATTATCGAATATGATTCAGGTACATATTTTGTTCACATACTGTACTACACCAAGGTACAGTTATTATTTTTGACAACAAATTATTTCTCAGTTTCAGGGCTTGTAGTTACAATTCTCTTTTTTGTTACATATGAAACTTAATAGGTGGCATTTCTTGTGCACGTTGAATTATGTTTTTTTCCCTAAACTATAGCATTTTTGCTCCCAACAAGGCTCTGAACAAGCAGCCACTGATAGGTAAGGTGCTACTTCATTTTGGGAGGATGAGAATCTTACCAGTTCGACATTACTTGTGAATGGTAATAGTGAATAATACATGGGCACTAGAAAAATTTAATCAAAAATTTGTTAAACAACATAACATTTGTATATACCAATGTATTTCTGAAATAGCCAAGTTTTGTTTGCAGTAGACCTGATCTAATCTGATATTTTCTATGTTTTATGAAACAGAACAACAAATCAAGTACAGTCCTCTGAGCTTGAGTGATCGTCGAGATTTCATCCAAGCTAGTGATAAAGTCACATTTCAGGTTGGACTATCGAAATATTATGAAAACTTAATTTTTGAAATTGGCATGAATAGTAGTAATTCATTCATGTGCATGACTATTAATGACTTTTTCAACATCCACATCAGAATAGAATTACAAACTATTGTTTGAGTTGTTGTTTATTTATATCTGTGTGCTCATTTCAAATATTTTTCTTTTATATGTCATTCAGATTTGCTCCAATACTTCAAATAATCAAGTTCGTGCTGTTAATGTTAGTGTGAAGAGAGAAACTATACAAGCTACTGTGGAAAGTGTGAAAGGCGAAGTATGATTTAATTTTCTTAAAGTGCCTTTACATCAACAATACCTGATAAACAAAATAGTTGTTTCTATATCAACCAAGCCCAAACAATGTTGATCCATAATCATTATTTGTTGTGCAGAATTTTTTTCAAGATTGAACTACGTATGGCACAATTCTCATACGAAAATTTTTTGTCAAAGTGCATAATTACCTTCATTTTTGTCTTTAGTATGGATTCATCAACTACGAAGTGAAGAATACGGATTCAGCGTCATCTGGCAAACTTTTCTTTCATATGTCAGAAGTCAGAGAAGGAGCTGATGAAATAACGACAGGCACTCTCGTGGAATTTTCTGTCATATTTAACCAAAGAACAGGTATTTAAGAAGTTATTACTATGCCACGAATTGATATGATTTTTATGTGGCACTTGTATATAAGTTGATTTATAGAACAATGTTCCATTAATAAGAGACTAGTTGCATTGGAAAAACGCTTTATTTTTGGCATGGTTTTTCATCTTCATTATATGAATTTGGTTGTTGAGAATTATAACATGGTTTGGCAATGTAAAATTGTATTTGCTTCATACTAATCAACTTTAAAAAAAAACGTCTTTTTTTTATCATGTGTTATTTGCATGAAACATTCTTGAAGATATTTATTTGTATGCCAAACAGGAAAATGTTATAATGTTTCTTATATATGAATTTTTAATCAGGAAAACACTCTGCCTCTGGAGTGAGGTGTCTGGAATCAAAACGCCAGCGACCAGAACGTTTACGTTTAAGAAGTTCCTGTTGCGAACCAATCGGGCCAGTAGTTACTGTCATTCGACAGCCGAGAGGACCAAATGGAGATAAGGTACATTATTATTAAATTACTTATTATCCTGTTATAAAATCTTGCTTTGGGTATTATTTAATATTATAAGGTTTGAGACACTCACCCATCTACAGATTATTAAACTTTATGCGTACTATAATTAATACAGATTATTATGGGGCTTAGGAAAAAATCGATACTTGTTAAATGTTGGCACATACAATAAACTATTTATCATGTATATTCCAGGGATTCTCATTGAAGAGGAATGTATCCAGTGATGGTGAAGCATCTAGTGTAGCATGATGATGGCAACTCAAACCAGGTGGAATTGACTTTTGCAGGGAAGTTGCAGTCTCGTCTATCTTCAGTTTTTTTTTTGTTGCATGCCGTGCCATATGATTTATATTCATCAATTCACACAAACAAAAAAATTGCATTTGTATATATTATTATTTTTTGCTGACTGCTTTTTTCCCCAGAATGTAGAGAATACTGTGCTGAATATCTTGCGTCCTATAATCGTTATTAATTTTTGTTACTTTATCACATATGTTTTGTTTGTTTATGTGTACGTTGGATTCCTCTTTTATTATATCTTTAGCTCTGCAGGCATACGCTGTCACTATGCTCCATTTGCATGAGAAGCTGCTCTTACACGTTACTCCTAAATTTGATATTAGCCAGTTGTTTTGCAAAACTGATCCTGACGTTCTGATGCAATTTATCTATCACCGAATTTGCAGCGTCTAGTGTTTTGACTTAAAATGCTTCGTTTGTATCATCATATGAAAATGGAATAATCTCTAACGTCCTGCTTGCATTGTATATAGTTTGTCACAAGCTTACCATTCATTGGTGGTTATTTTGCTGTAGCGTTTCATTTGGAAAGTATCTGATAAATAAAATGAAATTACTGTTTGAAGTTAAATTCCTGAAATATATGGTTCTTACGCTTTACTTTGAAAAATTCTTGTCGCCGAGAAAGGAAAGTTTATTAAAAAATGAAATGATTTTGAATCAGCAGGATTGCCTCAGGGAATCATTTTAAATATTCGTAAACTCACACGTTATGTTCGATAAAGAGATGCATTGATTCCTTGATGAAACTAACTCAATCTTAATGAATTAGAGCTCAGTAATGCTGGCTTGTATTGTAGTTTCTTTTCTTCTATTTAGTTTGACTTTATTTTTTGCACCAAATGGAGTTAACGTGACTCCATTCTTAATAATGCAGTTTTTTTTGTTTTGAGGTGGCAAGTATCTATACTGAAATTTAGAATTCTGTATTATACTTCTCTTTTTTCATCGTGAGTCTTCGTTGGTAGGTTTTTAGACAATCCAAGAATTTTGCAGAAACAAGAATTTTGCTCACAATGTGAAGAAAGAATGCGTGGAAAATGCTTGTTTTGTTTTCAAAGAGTGTTAGCTGCATTTATTATCATTATTGTAATTCTAATGATGGGTGATTTAAATCTGGAACATTTTGTACAATATAAAAAATTTGAGTAGGTAAAGCGCACTCTGTTTGTATGGATTGCTCAGCAAATATTCTCCTAACTCGGCATTTTCATCCTTGGAAATAGAATAGAAACCTATGCTTGGCTGTCTTGAAATTAGCATGTTATTGGGAAACTTCTTTTATTGAAATTTGAAACAAAAAATTTTTTTCAATGTGTTTTTACATAATGATCTAGCTTTAGTAGCCTGTGTTAGACCATAAACAAATATGATAGGCTGAATAGCTCTTCGGGATAATTTTTTCCTTCTATTGAAATATAATATTGTTTCCTTGAATGATGTCACACAATGAATGGCTAAAACGTGCTGGGGGGTTTTGGAGTGAGGATATAATCCATGAATTGTTCCATATAATGAACAACCTATGGATGTTTAGTTTGTGAGAATTACATCTCAATTTGGAATGATATTGGTACATATTTGTCTCCTGCTTCTGTTGGTGCTATTTTCTTAGTGATTTATTATATTTTAGTAAATTTTGATGTTTGAATTCAGGCTACAATGGAAATGTACATGCAACTTGTCTTTTAATTGTAATATCTTAATTTGTTTTACAAGCGAACACAATCCTCATGTTTAATTTAAATTTTCGAACCAACATTGAGAGAGTAAGGTTACTTATCATATGTAAATCTTCCACTGTTCAATGTGTTCCTTATTCTATGTGAAGTTCACTAAACTAAGGCCTTTCCCTGACCAATCATATGAATGAAGCAATCTTCTATGTACATTGACATTGAGTCAAAAAAATGCTTTAATGGATTGTCCCTAAATATTTTTTGTGATTTTTTTCAGCACTGGGATATTATTTCAAATAATTTTCTTAAAATAAAAATGACAAATTTAGTTATATTCTAAATTCAAGGGACATCTCTAGTCGACTGCAAGATATTCTCATCTATATTTTCTTTTTCACTCAATTACCTGTTGTTACGTTGGTTGAATGCAAATATTATATCTTTTGTTCAAATATTATTTACTTGCTACCTTGAGTTCGTTTTGTGTATTATTTGCATATTAATATTTGTTAGTTCATATCATCTGTACCTGCTTGCTTATACTGCTGTATCTTCAGTGCGCTTCCCACAGAAACCTTTCGTTCTTTGAAACCAGACTGCTTTTCTGGAGAACATTTCATATCAATAATGAAGGTCAGGTCATTCAAATGAATTGTATTCTTCAAAGCATACTTTTCTGTATTCATTTAGATTAAGGTGTTCTCAATTTTCCTTTGTGATACATGATGTAAATTCTTTCATCTGTTTCATTCATAATACCATAATTTTGAGTACTAGTTGAGTTCTCAAAGATTCAGCATGTTTTAGGACATGCATGATGATTTAGCAAATATTATTTTTTCCTGTTAATGTGTGAGCTATACAAGCATATCCACTAGCTTCTGTACTGAATGTTTAACCATTGGAAATATGAAAGTTGCTCAGAATTGGTGTCTTTCCTCCATATCGATTTCATTATTCATTGGTGGACTACTGTCATTTGATTTTTGAAAGCAGCATTACATTTCTCGAAAAAATATGTAGTCTTTTTTCTTGTGGGTGGCTAGGTGGTTATATAGATATTCGAGTGATTGCGATCTTCTCTTCATGAGGTAGTAATGATACTATGGTTAGATGCGCAATGCCATAACTAAGGAAAAAAGTTGCCCCTGGAAAAAAACTTTAAAATAATATTAAATGGGAAAACATTTTGGAGGTGTTGACAATGCTAACTGCCTTCCTGGTTGAGCTGAACAAATAAGTACAAATAGCGGTATTCCCGTAGTATGGGTACCGGTTTAGGCTGTAGTTTTATTCCGATTTTCTGTCTTCTAGTTTTATTACAAGTTGGGGGACTGTCTCGGTTAGCCTAGTGAATATCCCCCTTCCCATAGATTTCACTCCCTTTACACAACTTGATGGTTGAGTAGGCGAACAAAATTAGTTACCTCCATATTGGTACACATACTTTTGGAGCGCCCAAATAGCTACCAGGTAGGGTACTGTAATAGTGAGATGATGGCATCAAGGAAATTTATGGTATGGCGAACAACATGCTCCTCCAGACAAATATAAACTGAGTATATTTGCTCAAGGTCAAAGAATTTTTCCCCATCATTATGTTCTGGATAGATTAGATATAATCAGTGATGGGATTCAATTTTTTTGTCAGCCGGTTCCATCATACAAATGTCATATTTTCGGGCGGTTCTGTTACAAAAAGTAATGTAATGCTAACCGTTCGCTGATCTCATAAAATTTCGTGAGACGGTTCTATAGAACCGGTGCAAACCGGCTGAATCCCACTATTGGATATAATCAACGATTGCAGGATTGTGGATTATTTTTATTCGACTATTGTGAATCTCTAACAACAAGTATAGGTAATGCTGGCTTTTCCGATTGACAATATTCCAAGAAGCATTTATTATGTCACATTAGTTTGATTTGAATTCCGTATTGATTAAAGTACTTTTAAATATCTGGAAGAGTTCGACCGAGCAGCGAAAAAACACCAGTGGTGTACAACCTTTCTCCATAACCGATTGCAACACGTTTATGTATAAGCAGCACGACCGACAAAGACTGATTTAACAAATTCTCTGAATAAAGTTTGATACGTAACATCAACGCTTTTGATTTTGTTTGTTTGCAGATAATTTTAAAAAGACCAACAAAACATATGACAACGAAATAGCCGCTGTGCACTATCCGTCTTCAAAGTCTTTTCTTGCTCGCTTCCGTGGGCTTGCATTTATGCGGTAACTCGTATGTAATCTTAACTTTCTTTGTAAGTATATTGACTATTAAATACTTTTAAATATCTAGAATAGTTCGACCGAGCAGCGAAAAAACACCGTTACTTTTCGACGAACTTGTATATCGGGTCCTTAGCTGGTGAAATGCAGTCAGACGACTTCCCTAGGTTGAGGACAGACTAATCCGGACAGGCGAAGGCGAGACTGACAAAAAGCGTACGGGGCCGCCCAAAGGCCCGGGAAATAACGCTACAGGGGTGGTGTCTCTTCTACGGCCCATGGGCCGGGGCAACAGCCCATCTAATAGGGCCCCGGCCATGGCCCATGTGACGTAACTTTTTTGTGAAGTTGCCAGGTGGGGGTTAGGAATGACGTATGCAGAAATTGAGCCAAGCCAACTAGAATTTTTTGGTGAATGTGCCACGTGGGGGTTAGCAATGACATATGCAAAAATTTAGCCAGGCCAACTATGAAGTACATGTGGTACTAAACTATACCAGACCAAAAGTTTACTTGTACTCAATTTAAGTATTTTCACATAGTACAGTAGTATAAATTGTCGTAATGAGCTTGAAATCTACGGCCCATCGCCAATGGGCCGCGGCCCAATTAGATAGGCCGTGTTCCCGGCCCATGGGCCCTAGAGGAGTCACCACTTCCACTCAAATAACGAGTCAACATGAGGAGAGCAAGAGCGCTGGACAAAGGTATTAAAAGATTACAAATCCTGGCGGGCTCGATGAGGTGAGAATCAAAGTACAGTGTCCCAGGCTGGGGGGAGAAATAACAAATATGCCGATACGAGGTTGAGTGGCGCCAAGCTAAAGAAAGGAAGGCGAGCGATAAATGTCGTCCTGAGAACATCAAGATTGCCAGCTAACGTGTGGAGATGGAATAAGAATGAAGCGTGTAAATAAACCAAATCCAGTGTGCCAAGGCGGGCGAGAAATATCAGGGTGGTGTGAATGTGTGAAGTTATGATACCAGTACCGCGACAAGATTGTCAGCTGTCAATGTATGAAGGTAAAACAAGAGTGAGAGAAAGAATGAGTGAGTTTATAAATAAAAAAAAGTCAGGTGGGCGAGAATTGTCAGAGACCAGCAAGAAAGGATGCCGCCCAACGTGAGATGGGTGAGTGTAATTAAAACAATTGCCAGATAACGAGTAGTGTTTGTTGTAATTTAGGCACGAGAAAATGGAACAGTCCTGACGAGTCTTAAACGCGTGAAAAGAAGCCGTTAAAACAGCATACATTCCCCGAAATTAAATATCTCGTATTTTCTTGTCGAATCTTCATGAAATACAGTTCTAGTTTGGCTATTAATATAGTTCTGGTTTATCGCAAGACAATACCGGTTTATTTATTTGGCACGAAGTGTACCTAAGGATCGTTTTGATATTTACGTTGTTGTTGTTCTTGATGCTAGTATTTTATTTCTTCTTGTTGTTGTGAAGAAATACCTTCTCTTATTAACTAATGGACCCATACTGCATCGTTTTGGCATTCCCGTTTTAGCATTGCTCTCTGTTTTTGTTTAAATGAGCTTTATCAATGTACTTAGACGTTGCTTAAGAAGGCTACTACGACTCAGAACAGGGTGTACGCAAAGCAGCATAGATTCAGCAGGCCTGACCGGTCAAAACCGTTCCATTGAAACAGTTAGATTCGGAAGAAAACGAAGTGGTCTTCAGAGACTACTCATCGCTCTCGATTACAAGTCTACAACCGACATGGTGAGAACAGTTTAGAGCTGCTTAACTGGTGCAAATAAGTCACGGTGTGCAAACGCACTGCATATATTTTATCTTTAATGATTTAAGAAATTCGATACAAATATTAAGGACACTCCGATACCGTGGCTACGCCTTTTAATTACTTAATAACATCATTAGATAGCCATACAAAACTGCAAACAGCGCATTACTAACAAAACAACAGTAAAGTGTTCAGCACGGTCTTGTGTAAAGCAAATAACACCAATAATATCATCTTTAACTTTCGAGATCAGACGAGGTAGGGTGTATTCAACCTGGTATGGTACTAGACGACAGCGGAATTTCACATGTCCAGTTTGTCTCACACTTGCCCTGCTCGTATCAAACTTATCGTGCTTGTCCCACACCTGGCCTGTTCGTCCGTCCCACACTTGTTTTGCTTTGTCTAACACTTGATTTGCATGTCTAATACTTGTCGTGCGTGAATCAAACTTGTCCTACGTGTATCACAATTGTCCTGTTTATCCCACGTGTGTCCTATTATCTCATACTTGTGCTGATTCTCGCACACTTGTCCTGCTTGCCTCACACTTGTTCTGCTTGTCCCACGCTCGTACTGATTGAATCCGTGTTGTCTTGCTTTGGTCACACTTGCTACGCATGTCCTACATTTGACTTGCTTTTACCACACTTCTCCTATTTGCCCCACACTTATCCTGCTTGTTTCATACTTGTCCTGCTCGTCTAACATTTTCCCTATACATGTCTCACACTTGCTCGCTTTTTTATAAACTTGTCTTGTTTGACTCACACTTTTTCTGATTGTAGCATCGGGTTGTCTCGAGTATTCATTCAGATTTTTATTAGGAAGGCACACATATCGTACCGTGGTCTTCTATCCGACTTTAGCCTGCATTTGAAAAACTTGTAATTCCTGACCAGAAAACTTTTTTCCCCATGATATAGAGTAGGAGGAAGGCTATCTCGGGCTCCACCTTGTTTATTTGCGAATGACGACTTGACTTGTACTCGATTTGCTTGGACTCGGACTGGTGATATGTCTATGTAATTTAAGATTTTCTTTTGGCCGTGGTCATTCGATAAAGATTTGGTGATATGTAGCCACACTCTTTTTATGGTGTACTTCACACACCCCTTTAGATATGAAATTATTAGACTGAACAGCTACATATTACATGATATATATATAAGAATGGTTCCATTTTCTGATAAGGGGCTTCACGGCTTCATGCTGGATCTAATCATTGGATATGCATATCCAATGTCTTTTCCTAAGAAAAATAATATATCTATGACAGCCGCCAGAAATTAGACTTCGTGAAGTGGCCGAAAGACCAACAAAATCAAGATGTAGATTGAATAAGATGGTGACCGTACATTTGAACCCATGTACATTTGAACCCATGTGTATATCCGCGGGTTCAATCAATATGCGGGTGCTAAAACCCATGGGTTAGTTTAGTATGGGTACAAATATCCGTAAAACCAAAAAACATTCCATAGGTGCAATGGCATGCAGGTGCAATTGTCGTGGGTTCAAATGTACGTGGGTTCAAATGTAATGGAACCGAATAAGATATCCCCTAATATTTGATCAAGCAGCGTGTAGTTTTTTCCATTCAGGAAAGTCGGTCAGCGGCCAGAGTTGCCGATGTTACTCAGTGAGAATGATTGCGGACTTCGCCGTTGCATTCGCTGTAATTTCGAGTCACGGAGTAGGCCCCATTGGAAAGCAAATTAATCAACCAAACGCAAGCCATGTTCTACTTGATTGCTCCAAGAATCGTTCGCTGTAGGCTTTATCCCACATTTTCATGATTTTGCGACATCTTTTGCCGTAGCCTATGCCTGACGACGATGAAAAAATGCACAAATGCATGGCATGTGGAACTTGGTTTCAAATAAAATGTCTCGGAGAACCTTCTGAATAACCCACGAAGAGGAATCGAATACCTCAAAAAAAGCCAGTAGAAGCTTTCACATTGTCGCCGTCATCAATCTCAAAAAAGACTTCATGATCGTTTGTATTAATTAAATAGAAGAGGAAAAGGTTGGAAATAATAATACACGAAACGGTTCACGCAGCTGGGGTTTTGATGCATAATGACGGAAGCGAACATAGGCCGAAATTTTTAAAAATGCCGTGTGGTCAAACAAATTGAAGCTCATCAAAATAACCTCCTTCCTGAGCTTAAAAAATCAGAACATAAACTTCCTATATATTCCTAAATCGATGCATTTAAATATTATTATTATTTTATGTTATGACTATGAGTGATTAGAGAAAACTATTATTAAATGTTTTTTTTTTCTCTCTTCTATTTGCTATGCCTATGAGATGTGTTTTCTATGTGATGTTTGAAAAATACTCTTTTCCACTGATGTTGTATTTATTTCGCATAAACATCGAAGTTAAGCGAAATATAATTGCATTTAATTAAAGATAAAGGTAAGTTGATATCGCCGTGTAAATTATTTGCACATATTCCTGAGTACACTCATAACAACAGAAATCGTTTTCTTGGCACTGTTTTTAGAAACGTTTTACCGTTTAATCTAATCCCAAGATGAAAAGAAAGTCTATGATGAGATTAGGGATGGTGCACAATGATATTTCATAGACCCGCGCCGCGATTGTTTTGTTGATAAATCCTCAAGTGGAAATTAATTTTTTACGGGTCTGCGCAACATCATATTTATGTTTACAAGTGACATTGCAATCGCGTTGCACGATCATGTTTGGTCAAATGATTGAACCGTATCAAAAATCCTTTTTCTGCTTGTTTCATCCTTCAATTGTCCTGATTTTCTCACAGTTGTCCTGTTTGTCTCACACTTTACCGATTGTATCACTATGTGTTCTTAACAAGTACCAGAAAAAATTATGTATCGGAGTTTTCGTGATAGAAAATAGGCGGCAATCTACCCTGGGCTTCACTTTATTGGACACAATGTGGACCCATATGGATCGTTTTGTTATTATGTTGTTCTTGTTCGTAGTACAACAACAACATAATAACAAAACGATCTATATTCTATATGTACATTTCGTGTCGAATAAATTTGGCACTGCCAAATCTTGAAGACGAAATCATTTTTTTATGATGTCATAAAACCTCATTATTATATTTCGCGCTGTGGATTTTTATTAATGAACAACAGACTCATGAACCGCAAATACGTGCTCGGTGAATTTTAATTTCTACTTTGTCCATTTTTTTTTTATCATAAACACGTTAATGATAAAAAAAAATAACAAATAACATCTCGTAATATGATGACATGAAATTACTTACACTGAGCACGCAAACGACGCAATCATTCGTAATTTCCGGTGCGTCGTATCGTCGTTTGGACACGAACTGCAGCTTGCGGCGTTGCCTCTGAAGTTTATTATATTCATTATTATATTTCGCGCTGTAGATTTTGATTAATAAACAACAGACTCGTAAATCGGACGAGAGGCCATGATTCGCCATATGATTAAGCCGTCTCATCGGCTTTCCTCTCCCCTGGGATAAATATGTAAATCCTATCCTAAACCAAATACGTGCTCGGTGAATTTTGATTCTACTTTGTCTATTATTTTATCATTAACACGTTAATCATAAAAAAAAATAACATCTCGTAATATGATGACATGAAATTACACTGAGCACGCAAACAACGCACATCTTTCGTAATTTCCGGTGCGTCGTATCGTTGCTTGGACACGATCTGCAGCTTGCGGCATCGCCTCTGAAGTTTTGCACTTGCTTGCAGAGGCCTGTTGTTCCGGTAATCTTGTTCACTCAAAGGGTGGTTAACGACTTTACCGAAATGGAGAGGTGAGTGGCTTTCAAGTTTGACTTTTTATTCCATTGAGTGAATAGTTGCTAAATCTGTAAATTGACTGCAGTTCAGCGATGAAAAGCGTACGGATTCTGCAGACATGAATTTTAATGGGGGTGGTCGAAAATTTGGTCTAACTTACTTTCATGCTTTCTGACTTTAGTCAGACTGGGGTAACGAAGTACAGAAGTAGTTCATGTCATATTTTTTCGTAGATTCCTAAAACATGATACCAGTAAATGTCTGAATGTGCAGAAGGTTCAGCATTATTTTGGTGGGCAGGCACCTGATATTTCTCATGTTTTAAACTTCTTTAAATGTTTTTCTTGCTTTTCAGAATTCTCCATTTTTGATTTAATTCTCAAAAATAAATGATTGATTGATTTGTGTGTATTATGGAGTTTTCAAAATAAACTAGACCTATCACTCTATTACTGTATTATTCGTTGTGATATATCTATTTTATGTAAAAATGGAATTACGGTATTTTATTTATCTCCTCATCCCAAGCAGCTTTGGAACAATATGCTGATATAAAATATCATGTTTCTTGTATTTATCTATTCTGTTAATGTTTATCAAGTGCTCATGTGCATGCAAACATATGTTTATACAAAGTTTCAATGTTTTTGTTTCTAATGATTCGTATTTTTTTGTTTTCCTAGAGCAACCAGATGTATTCCAATTCCAACTGCAAAACGGTTTGTTAAGCAATGTATTGTTGCTGGTGGTGCAAAAGAAGTTCATGCACAAGCAATGGCAGATACATTGATAGCCGCAGATCATAGAGGGCATTTCAGTCATGGCTTAAACAGACTGGGTACACAGTGTTATACATCTTACTTGGGGTCTTGTTTAGATATATTATAGTATATACAATATCGATTTCATAGAGGTGCATTTGCCAGTTTGGTATCATAATAGCAATAAGAAATTTATCCTTTTATTAGCAATAGAAATTTGATAAATTAAATATTGAGTCAAATAAATTAGATTACCTGCAAGATCGTTGTACTGCTTTAAATTTGAAGAATAAATTTTATATTGGCTTATATACCTTATGGAAGCATAAATTTAATAGTATTAATATGACGATGTGCTTAATATTATTAGATGGATCATCTGAGTATCCATAGAGTGTGTCAGTCAAATGCTATTTACCGTAATCAATTATAATCCTCATTTTGATCTATCATTCATGAGTAATATTTTTATGTTCAAAATGTCAAGATAATGATAATGGTGTTAAATCTTTCTAGAGATGTATGTCAAAGATATACAAACTGGAAGTACGGTTGGAGATGGGGAACCAGTTACCTTGAAGGAGTCTGCTGCTACTGCACATGTTGATGGCAAAAATAATCTTGGTCCTGTTGTTGGAAATTATTGCATGAAACTCGCTATTAAGGTATAATGGTATAGTAATTTATGATCTTCCTACTTTGTCAAGCAGGTGAAATGATTAGGATTGATTACCGAATAAGAGGCAAATGATGGCATATTTTTGGTAGTATTTGGGTACTCACGTGGTGTCATTTTATTCAGATTTTCCTCATTTTGGTTTTATTACGAGTTTGGAGACTGTTTGTGTTAGCCAAGTGAATATACCCCCTGCCCATAGGCCTCCATCTCTTTACACAACTTCATGTAAAGGAGGCGAAAAAATTAGTTACCTCCATATTGGTACACACACTCCTGGAGCACCGTATTTCCAATATATGTGCCAGTAGTTTTTATCCAAGATTCTGCAGCACCCTAGGGTTCCATCAGTATAATCCTGGCCCTGGGGTTCTGCTAGTTTACATTCTAATCCAAGCTCTATTTTGTTTTATGCATATTGTTCAAATATCTTTAGCAACTTAGGATTGCTGATGTTATCAAACTTGCTGTGCTGCACTTTATAAGGATCATTTGGTTTTGCCAGTATTAGGTTTGCTTTTATGTAATCATAGTTTATACAATTCAGACAATAAAAGTCAAAACTATCGCACAGTGGTTCCTCGAGACTCCCGAATATTTCATTTGGGTTTGGCTTCACCAAGAAGGTTGAAAACCACTGGTTTATACAACAATTCAAAGCAATAAGTAGATAATATTGAAAAATTAATATGCAACCGATTGTATCAGTTTGTATGTGCTAGAAAAGCCTCGTCTGTTCGTTGTAATCCTGTGGCAGATGTGTATATATTTGTGGGATGAATATACTGAGGATAATTTCTTGATGTTTAATCAATTTGTATAGATTTTATCTGAGTTAGGAAAAAAATCGCTTCATTGGCTGCGGTGTGTTCTGCCTGAAGTTTGTGGGTTTTAATCCTGTGGGACATGAACATACATTTCTGGACTGAGATTTACATCACCACTCTCATACCAGTTTTACAGGCCCTCAAGTGGATTACAAATGGAATATTTCAAAATTTCATAGTTGTTGAAAAAATCCAGTTTTCATGTTATTATGGTTGTTTCAGAAAGCAAAAGAATGTGGTGTTGGTTGGGTCGTTGCAAAGGGATCAAATCACTATGGAATAGCTGGATTTTATGCCTTACAGGCAGTAGAAGAAGGACTTGTGGTAAGATGCTGTTGCGTTTATATTCAATGAAATTCTGTCTTCTATAACAAGCTTGGAATTTGGAAAAATCAAATTTTTTGCACTTGTTCAGTTCAACAAACTTCACCATGGAAAATCACAACATAGCCAATTCTACTGTTTTTTTTTATAAAAAATATATACATTTCAACTATAACTGTGTTACAGGTCCAATAAAATTTTTAATGTGAAAATTATAAAATAAAATAAAATGAGGGACAGATCCAACATAACGTGTTACATGGTAAATAAAGTAGTCCCATGTAAAAAATCTGATGTAAAATTAAAACTATGATTAATATTGTCTGCAGCAACACTTAACATAATAAAAGGTAGAAAATTATGTCATGTTTATTGCTACTGTTCACGCATGTATGTTTTTGTTTTTTGCAGTATTATAAGCTTATTTTATGCCGACAGTTTTGTGCCTGCGGGGTAGTATTATAGGCCTACTTCTAGCTCATGATAATTAATAGCTTTAGCTTTAGGCCGAATAAGTCACTATTTCGAATACATGCAAAATTATTTTTTTTCGAATATGAATATGAAAAAAGAATAATTTGCACTAGCTCAGGATTAAACCTGAATGAATGTGTTTCAATGCAAGCAAGACTCGGGTTGGTAAATAGTCATAAAACAGCACCTCAACTACGACAAATAAAAACGATATTTTCGACATTGTGAATCGTCAAAATTTTGTTTGTCTTCAGCACACAACAGGCTATGTTGAAAAATTTGAAAATATATTTAATAATAGTGAATAAAGTTGAAACAGTCAATCGTTGTGCTCGCAATGTACCCCCTTATCTATTCATTAGCGTTGGGCCGCTTCCGACCTTTTACCCTCGATTATGATGGATTTTAGCTATTGGCAACCGATGTTAAGCAATTTATTGTTGTACTAAAATAAATAGATTTTCTTGCGATTCTATCGCGAAACTTTTCCATTCGTTTACCGGCGATAAGGGCTTCGCGAGACCCAAAAAATTAGAGTCAAAAATAATTATAATGGGGCAGTTCACTACACGTCTTTGTGTCAGCAGGTTGCCGCAATATTTTAGAGTACCACCAATGCTTTTATTTCTTGGTAAGTCGACGCAACCTTGAGTTACAATGACCAGAATTAAATTTATATGGAGAGACAATTTGATTTAAATGCTAGTATCGGTGATGGATTGAATATTTTGCACAGCAGAAATCTTTCTTTGAAAAAGTTGATTCTTTCAACTATTATCTACTTGATTATTTGCCAAAAAGCGGGAAAAGTTGAATTATCTTTTCCTAAAACAATTTATTGGGTAGCCTATTGTAATAAAGTGCATGGACACAGCTTTCTTCATATCTGACCTTGGTTGGATCTATGCCCGTCGCGTGAACCGCAACCATGTTCAATATCACTCCCCATTATATTGCACAATCGTTTTACCGGTAAATTTTAATTTCACTTTCGTTCACTAAGTGCAGGAGCGATAGTGTTACACGATTGGCTGGAGAAACGCTTTGCCGCCCACTTAATTCTGGCTGTATGAAATTCTCAAATTTTCCAACTTAACTGGAAATGAAGATTTTTCTCAAACGAAACACCCAAAATTAGTCGAAAAAGTATTCCAATATATTCGATTCGTTTTGGACAAACCTGGTCATTGTGTATGATTAATTCATTAGGCTATCCATTTGTCTGTTTTCACATGTGTTGTTGCTTTCATCAAAAGGATGGTATAATCTAATTTTGCTTCTCATTATGTCTGTATTGTATGGTTTACCGTGTTTGTCTAAATAGGGAATGTCCATGACTAATACATCACCGCTGGTTATGGCAAGCAGGGCGAGAACATGCACCTTAGGGACCAATCCAATTGCTTGTGCAGCACCGGCCAAATCGGGTGACAGTCTGGTAGTTGACATGGCAACATCAGCTGTTGCTATTGGAAAAGTTGAATTACATAAAAGGTTAGTCATTATGAATGGCCATTCATTTCAATTAAGCAAGTAAAAAGTGAGAATGCTGGTTTTGAATAATAATAGCATAATATTCTGAAATAAAGTAACTTTTTGTGGTACATAAATTTTTTGCTGTATTGAATTAGACACCAGTAATATCGTGTTAAATTTGCACCTGCTGACCCAAGTTTAATCTAAAATAGACATCTGATTATAGAAAAATTCAAATTTCTAATTTGCATACGAAAGCAGTATCCATTTTTCATATTCTGCATGATCATCAAGTCTCTGCATGACATGGTTCAATTCAGAATAAAATACGAATGTCACAAATCTTATGCACCATATGTTCTCCGTGGTTGTTCGAGTTAACCAGCATGCTTCTTTCTAATTTCTGACGATTTCAAATCATTTTCGTGTAATATTCATCATCAAAATTATTCCCTCAAATTTCTTCAGCTTGATGTGCATTGGTGTTCTATGAGTCTGCAGAATATTCTATTCATTATCTAAATCATAGAATCAAATCAGTCTCTTCAAATATTAATAATAACATAAAATTCAACCAGCGTCACTAAAATCAAACACACCAAGACCTTCAAATAAATAATTTGCAAACATTTTTTTTTATTTTTTTTTCAATACAATGGGTGTTACGGTTGCCATGTCAATACCAAAATGACAACGATGAGACCCCCAAAGTTAGAAAGAGCGCTTGCCTATAATTCAACTGATTTTTAATATGCTGAATTATTTTATAAACTTCAGATCTTGATATTTACCTATATTTTTCTATTTTCTAAAATCCATTATAAAATTATGGCTTTCATGTCGAGGCGGGTGGTTTTTGCAGAGAAAGACTTAATTATTAAAACATTTTTTTCTAATACAGGGTGTCTGAGAAGTATACACTTTGAATTTTGATTTGCTTTTCAGACACTCTTCATAGAGCGTTCATTTCTTTAGAGAACATATTATGGGTAATTGCTGTTTGGCAAGAAGCATATAAATCAGTAAGTTTGCCGTACTGATTTATATACTTCTTGCCAAACAGCAATCTTGCACCTCATTTCTTGGGTTCATCTCCTTGTCATTCTGTGGGTTGATGAAAAATGCAAACAATACCTGAATTTTACTAGTTATCCACACTATGTTTTCTAAAGAAATGAACTCTGTATGATGAGTACGTGAAAAGCAAATCAAAATTAAAAGTGTATACTTACCTTTGAGACACCCTGTATATTCATTCTGGGATAGAATTAAAGTCATCATATAATAAAAGCAAGTCAACACTTTTTCATTTTATCTTCGTACCAGTTCAAAGAATTACTAATTACACTTCACCACAAGATCTTGATTGATCTAATGGAGAAATTTGTTAAACAGGGTTTTTCATTTACAAATTCAACTCCATGCTTGAGAGCTAATCGGTCCAGCAGTTATACATTAGGCTCAAATCCAATATCATGCGCCGCCCCTGCAGTAGCTGATGACGCATTTGTTTTGGATATGGCAACTAGTACTGCAGCGTACGGAAGAGTTGAAATTAATCACAGGTTAGAAGCCATGGCAAATCTTAATCTCTTGGCAAATATTGACTATTCATTCGAAGGATTTATAATTTTCACGCTGTCACACAATTTCAGTTCAAATTTAAAGATTTTATAAAATAAGAACTCCATCATTAGGTTAATCATTACACAAAGTAATGCATACAGTTGCAGGCAATTCCAATATTTTTATTCCAATAACGCTGGATACTAGTGTGTGCAAATGATTAATAAATGACTGAATTTATTGAAATTATGGTACTCCCATAGTACGTGTACCGGGTTAGGGTTAGGCCATAATTTTATTCAGTTTTTCCTTATTTTAGTTCGATTTAGAGTTCAGGGACTCTCTGTGTTATCCAAGTGAATATCCCCCTGCCCATAAATTTCAGTCCCTTCACATAACTTGATGTAAAATAGGCAAGCAAAATATTGGTACACATACTTCTGGAATGCCGAATATATTATGCTCATAGTCATCTTATACTGGCAGATGCAGCACAACAGTGTTGTATTTCTGACCTTTGATCGCAACAACATGAATTCTATTTAGAATGCTATAATATGTTTATGCAGGAAAAATATTTATCATTACATATGTAATCTTGTAACGATAATCAAACAGCCTATTGGAAACACCAAATAATTGCATTTTGAACAAATAATTGTTGATGTGATATAGTAGCAAAATATCAATTTGTAATATTCGTTTGTGAAAAATCAGTGGTGAAATGTATCTAATGAACATTTAATTCAAGTCATAATGCTAGTGCATACATTACATCAATGAAGGATAATTGACCTTTCAGTGATGTGTATACAGTATATCTGTATTGCGTAACACAATTTTTGTTTCTGGTTTCAAATTATTCACACCAAAAAATTAAAGAATACTGACATTAATTTTGGTTTTGTGAACGGATTTCCCGAAAATCATTGAACAGCATAAAACTTTTATTTTAAAATAGTCTAGTGCTATTATGTAGTGTTTTTGATATTCCAGACTCAGAGATTCCTTATTTATATTCTATGTTCGAAGTCTTGAAGAAATTAATACAAAACATTTTAGGTTTTTTTGGTTGCCAAAAAGTTATTTAATATGTCTTACAAATGTAACTATGTGATGAAAAATTTTTATGCTGTTTCGTGTCGCCAATTTCTTTCATTCATTGGACAAGGCAGATTTTGATCGCTTCAACTAGCTAGTAAATAACTTACCATCCCATAATTTTTCATCTCAATCATGCAACTTTGTTCAATCTATTTCAGTTTGGAGAAATAAAAGTCCCATTAATCATTTTAATGAATATTGCAATACGATGCATTCATGTCCAACTCCCACTTTACAGTACAAATTTTTGATCAGGGATTTTCATTCACAAACACCACACCATGCGTGAAAGCCAACCGATCATATGACTTTACTCTTGGCACAAATCCTATTGCTTGTGCCGCTCCTGCAATTGATAAAGATGCTTTTGTTTTGGATATGGCAACTAGTACCGTATCATCCGGAAAAGTAGAAATGAATGGAAGGTCAGAGAATATAAATGGTGGTAAAATGGATAAACCATCGGTGCATTTAAAATCTATGGCTACATATTAATAGTTTTAGACTTCCCATGCTTGCACACCATATGTGTATGTATCATACCACTTAGTTAAAGTAAACAACTTTTATGCGCATGCCTGATAACTAATCACTGCCGACTTCTAAAATTTCTGGCTCGATTAGTTTTTTGCTTCCCAAAAACTAGCATACTTTCAAAGTCAAGTTGTCGAATTTTCTCCTGCTGTTGCTTATGAAACTTTTAATCAAAAATGGCCACATATTAAATCATGCATAGCTGCATGTAATATATAAAATTGTATAGAGGTCAAAATGGAAAAATAACCAAACCCTGGTAATGACCACATAATTACTCGTTCAATATTCTTTGTGTTATTCCAGTAAATTGTTGGATAAACTTCTATATACTAGAATTATCTTAAGTCAAGTGAAATGAGTTCTATCTTGGAATAGAACTTCTTTAACTGTAAAATTAATGATGAATGGTATGAATAATTCAATAAAATAAATTTACTCATAACACTGTCATTGATGAGCTCCATGGTGACTCCACTAAATAAATCTGGTGGCATATGACAAGCTGCTGACAAATAGATTCGGCCAGTTCGCGTTTATCCTGCGCATTCCGGACAAAGGCATGAATATGTATAATATATTTTCAATTTTGCTTTTATTTTATGGTACCTGTTTGCCTGAATAGCTAATAAAAAAATAGTTTGTTTGATTGCTTTAGTAATTTGCATGATTGAATGTGGGATGCAACAATTTTCACAATATGAACTTAATTTACAAATAATTTCAATAAACAAAATTTAGCCTGGTCTGCAATGCACTGATTTCTAAATTAGGTTAATGCTTGTTAATTTATGAGTGCATTAAAAGTAAAATAGGATGTTCCACAATTGCTTTTTTGTTATTCAAGAAAAGGAATACCGATCCCGAATGGGTGGGGAGCGGATCCAAATGGAAGAGAAACAAATGAGCCCAGTGAAGTGTTGAATGGTGGAGGATTGTTGCCACTAGGAGGAGCAGAGGAGTCTGGAGGATATAAAGGTAATTACTTGCACTAGATTTGAAGTTGAATGTTGACTTTTTTTTGTGAAACTAAGGGATCAAACGATTTGATTTTGTAACACTGAATGGACATTTGTTTCGTTAAGAGCATGATAGCTTATTGTTTTATGGCATTGGTCTTTATATATTGGGACAAAAATTTATCGCTACTCAGTTCATCATATCGGCTGTGCTTGCCAAATCCACCAGAATATAACAGAATTGTAAATTGTGCTCAGCCACTGAAATTGGTATTCTAATACTAAGTAGATTCTGGAGTATTATTTAAGTATATTGAAAGATGTCGTAATGTCACTAGTCTTAAAATAGTATTGGCTTCTAGTTTGTTGGTTAGACTAAATATTATCAATGATATTTATTCAGGCTACGGATTAGCAATGATGGTGGAAATGTTGTGCGGAATACTTGGTGGTGGAGCATATGGTCCAAATGTTAGGAAATGGGGAACTACTTCAAGAGAAGCTAATTTGGTATTGAAATTTGTGCATTATCATTCTTACTCTTTTTTCTGTCTAATGGTTACATATACTAATTTTTTTAAAATACATTTAATTTATAATAAGACTTTTGAATTGATTAGATTTGTAGCAGTGAAAATGATTTTCTATCAATTGTTCCATGTTCATTCTGAAGTATGATACTGTCTCTTGTCTGTCCTGACTACAAAGTTATTTTTTAACATATTTTTTAGGGTCAGTGCTTCATTGCTTTAAATCCTGATATGTTTTGTGACGGTTTTGGAGAAAGAATGCAGGATTTGATGGATTCACAACGTAATTTAACTCCATCAGAAAAGGACAAACCTGTTTTGGTTGCTGGAGATCCTGAAAGAATGCATATTAAAAAATGTGAAGAATTAGGCGGAATTCCTTATCCAACTAATGTGGTTGATCATATGGTGGGTCTTTGATTGGCATGGAATCACAGGAAATTAAAAATGTATTTATAGCCAAAGCATATTAATTTCACTAATCAAGTTTATAAGTGAGATTGAACAGTAATTTGTTTGTTTTATATATTTAGGTAACATGTATATATATACCCTTGAGGCATATTATTTCACTAATCTAATAAACTTGTATACAAAGCTATTCACTAATCAAACTAATAAAAAAAGTGAGACCCAAACTGATCCGGAAAAAGTGCTTGATTGCTCAAATTTTTAATTTCTATTTTCCCACAAAAGGCTAATAAACTGATTTGACTTTTTCATATTTTCTAACAATTTGAAAATATTTGAAACAAGGGAATGTAAATTATAATACCATGTTACATCATACCATGCACACAGGTAGGCAGGCACTCAGTGAATGGCCCCTATATCTTGGTACATCTATTGATTTTGTGTGCTTGTGTTTTTGAAAATGTTGAAATATGCAAACAAAACGATTTGAAGATTTAATTGATGTTTACAATTGAGATATTTGTAACATGCATTAAATCAATTTCTGTTAGTTAAAAGGATTGCACTAAAGTGCTGTAATTCTGCCAAACCCCAAAATAGGCTATAAATTTTAGATTTCTGCATAAATGATTATTTGTTTCAGAATGGACTTGCCAAAGAACTTGGTGTAAAACCTATGTAATCAAAAACATCACATATATGAGCAGGTGCAATATGAATACGAACAAGGTTCAGCATTATGCTTTGTGGAGACAATGACGATAGTTCCTGACATTTTGAATTTTTCAACTAATCATCAATGCATTAAAGTTGCCCTCTTGCTGGCTAATTGCACTTAATATTCTGACTTCTTTTTCTTGTCGCTTTGACCGAAGTCTTATCAGACAATTAGAAATTCTGAAAGGTGATTTGTGGGAAACAGTAAAAATGTATGATTATATACTATTGTAGATCATATCAGGCCTGTCAGTAGTTTTTCAAGACTATCTTAGGCTGAAGAAATATGCAGGGAGTAGGCCTACCGAAGGTTTTATTGGGTATGAGACTTTGATGAGGTTTGAATCTGGGTTTGTAGATGTTTTCGATTTGTTTTGAAATGATAGTGTCACTTTCACCAATGATTGTCACGCCTCTGCTTTTCGCGTCAGTTAAAACAGGGGTGCACTCAAATGGGGATAAGTGTTGAAGTTTTTAAAATAAGTCTTGTCATGTGCCATGCTATGTTCAAATAATTAGTTGATCGATAAATAGAAACTACGGTGTTTCGGTTACTACCTTCTGAAAACTGCCACGAGCTAGCGATGTGTGAATAAACGTGGGGATTTAAGTTTATTTTGATATGGACGTGAGTTATTAGGATTTGTTATAAACACAAGAATACCTTTTTAGCATACTGTTCGATTGCCACGTTCAAGCTTATGACGTTCCAAAGTTGGCTCGCGTGCCCTTTGTTGTGAACCTATGAGTGTATATAAACCAACATATATATATATATAAGAAAATAGAAATAGCACTTTATTGCAGGCATGTACAAGCATCGACGCCTGTGCAATTAAATTGCAATATTAATATATATGAACCACCCAAGTTTATACTGAGTGGTTCGTTCATCACATCACACATGAACCATTCAATATAGTCGTTTTGTTACATTGTCCTTGGAGTCGGGTTCCTACTAACATCTAGGGCTATAGGCAGGGAGAAAGAAGCAATAGTTCGGATTCGTTTAGACATAGAAAATTAATTAATTGCTCAAATCAGTTAAACAATCCAACCACATGGTAATTCAATCTAATCAGTTTGAAAAGGAATGACAGATTTATTTATTCACATAGCCTATTTTCTATATATATACCCTTTCGTTTAACACCTCCTGACTATACTTGTGTACAGAATTCAGCCAAATCTATTACAACCCTCCTACCTAGAATACACGAATTCCGCTTATTGTTGGAGTTCTCTATGTCTAAGTCTACGAATTTCAAAGACATATTAGGCTATTACACTCTTGGTTATATTGGCGATAGTTGAACCTCATCAATGATGAATTTGAAAAAACGACACTCTGACACAACCAATCTACTAATAAGACCGTTTCAGTAGTTTTATTCGTAGCGGATAATAATCAAAGGCTTCTGATAGCATGCTTTGGATGAAACGTAAATAGATACGAAAATAATAACATTTTCTTGCCTTGATTAATTACGGAAACAAGTTGGGTTTGGGAATGCGAGACATGCTAAAAATCCAACATCGGGAGCACACCGGAATTCTGTCGCATCTTGTTGTCCATGGAGTTAAATTGACATTTTTATCCAACTATTTATGGAATTAAGCTAGAATTGACCCTGAAACAGCGACACCCAAGGTCCAATATCTGATCGAATTTATTATATATATGAACGGCAATTTAGGTTTGGCAGCTAAGCAACAAACTACGTCTAATCAAATTTTATGAGACCACCGTCAAGGGTTTTATTATAATATGCAATGGTGGTACGTATATGGAAAGGTTGATAACAAAGGGCCCAGATAGCACGCATGAATTACTCCGGTTTCCATTGAAAGAACTGCAGAAAGATAAGTGTCAACTTCTACATATTGAAGTCTGCCCTGCAAGTCATCTTTAGAAGGGTATGTACGCCACTTTGAAATTCATAGTAACAAAGTTTGCGCAGGAGTATGCTATGACTATTAGTATTAAAAAGGCCCCTTTAAATCTAAAAAGACGTGTTGAAAAGTGACCTTGTTCATTTGAAAACTTTTGTCGCTTGAGTTTGTTTTCTATCACCTCTATTTTTTTTATTTGTGATAAATAATAAGTTTGCTTTGACTTTTTACGTATGTAAACTGCGATGTTATGGCAATTTTTGTAATGTGCACGTTGATTTAATTAGAGTGCCATGTGATTGATATTCTTCATGCATATATATATATTACTTTTCCCTCTGATGGATGTATGAATACCATTAGTAACCCAGGGTTTAACTCCAGATAGCAATTTTGTTTTTACGAGAGCATGTTGTAAGATTTTCAACACCTCGTTGAAGTTTATAGTTGATAATTTTGTCGTCAAAAATCAATTAGGCTCAAGTGCACTGTGGGCGTCACTTCTAAATGTTTCTTCATGTAAATTAGACATGTTTCTTTTTATGCAAAGTTTTACCATGTGGTTAGTTTCAATCAAAAAGGAAAATGATGATTTAAACACGAAAATGATCCGATATGTCATGTTGTATATATATGTATTTTAAAATGAATAACAGCGATCAATTGCGTTTGCGTAAATATGATCAATCGGTGTATGTAATGTTAAGGTTGTTCTTATTTTGTGCCTGAAACCAACGTTCGTTTTCGGCATTAGTGATTTCAACCATCTCACCACCGACATAAGAAATTGCTGCCGTAAAAGTTTCCGGCTTTCCATTGATTTCCATAACCTTCCTTCTTTTAGGTTTTAGCCATATTGTGACGTCACCATCTCACCTCTCGGCGCTAGAAACATCATAATTATTCTTCTTCTTTTCAGCTTTCAGGCGTCTAGTCATTTTTGATAAATGGAGTTGGTTCAGCTTTCGATTGGTCTAGACATGGTGCCAAGTCTTTCTCAGAAACAGTTGTTTGTCTTCCATCTGAGTGGCGCACCAGTGCCTATTTGGAATTGGCATTCAGAAGATCAACCACATCGCAAGAGAGGCTCAGTCTTTTTCCGAACCCATTTTCGAAGTAATACTCTACCTCTTGAAATCAGCCAATTAGGGAGCGACTGTCATCGATCGTCGTTGAAAACCAAATAACTACATAGTAGAAGTTATGCAACGGGTAAAGTCAAAATTAGAATTACCAAAAATGAAACGTATTCGAGACATTGTTTCAGGGGTTACATTATTAATTCCGTCTCGATGAACAACAGAATAACTGTAGCAACTAAGTTCCAATTCCTTCAATGACAATTTAGTATTTTTTAATCTTGCTTTTATGATTCTTTTGGAAAATGAGAGACAGGGCCCGTTGGTCTTTAATAAAGCGAAACTTTATACCGTGTAGGAAATAACTCCATTTTCACACTGCTCCTATAATAAAAGAAGCTTCTTTCCCATTTGACGGGTACTTTATTTCAATTTAAGATAGGGTGCGAGAAGTAAAAGCTACCGGACAGCCACATTGGTTTAAAATAGCAGCTATTGCGTTATTAGACGCATCACATTTAATGGTTAAAAGTCTTGCTGTCATTTACACAGACAGGCATTTAGAAGATCGCTCTTCAAAATTTCAAAACATCTCCTAGCATTGTTTGAAAATGGGGACCCAGAATTTCAGGTTAAAGCATATATTGTTATCAGAAAGTTTAGGAATCTATTTGGAATAGTAAGAAAACATTCAGAGGCAACACTTTAAACTAAACTCTTGGAATCACGATGTGTCTTCATGTCGAGCAATGGTTTGAAATGCTGAGGATCAGGTTTAGTAGAGTTATGTGATATACAGGCCTACTAATAGATGACTCAGTAGTGAAATTTCAGTAGCGGAATAAATGGATTTATCCTGGTTTAAAGTCAACTTACAATCTTTGGAAGCAGAGAGGAATGATTGCAGTCGTCAATCATGTTCTTCCGGCTCGTACCATTAATAGTGACATTGTCCAAGTAAGCCAAAGTTGCATTCAAGTCGTATTTGGCAATAATCGAGTAAATATATCGCTGGAATGCAGCTACACCATAAGTAACACCAAATGGAAGCCCGCCAAATTGATGTATCGAGCCAAAAGCTTCAAATGCGGTTAAAGGTCAATCACTTATTTCTAATACCACTTGACGTCCTTACACGTCCTTCTAGCTACCTCATTTGCGATTTCGTTTATCTTAGGCAATGGGTTAGGCAAACGCATCTAAATAAGTGTATCGGATTATCGTTTGAGAATAATCAAATATACGAGTAGTTTCTTATGCCTGGCATCTTTGGTCACAATAACCTGTTCTCCCCACGGGGATCTTGAAGGCTCTATTATACCTTCCTCAAGGGGACGAGATATTTCGATTTTAATAAATCGCCGATCATCTGAATAATAATTTTTAGAACAGGGGTGGCCAACCTTTCACATACCATGCGCCACGTTTTAAACATAATGTTTCAGATGCGCCGTAAATCTCTTGTATTCCCACGCCTAATGTCCGCTTCTTGTTGAAATTATATAAATTTATAATACACACACGTATATGTATAGTTAACTCAAAGAAAATTCTCGTATCTACGCAAAAATTCGAGCAATTTACGATAAACAGATTACGATTGATTACGAAACAGGGAACCATTGTGACGCCATGCTTCAAGTAAAAACTACAGCCTTCGTTAAAGTAGGAGTAATACGCATTCTGCCTTATGAGCATTAGGCAATAAAGCTGTTTTTAACAACGAAGAGAAAAAAGTACGATTAAGAAGCTGTTTAGCCCAGCGTCGCGTGATTTTACTCCAGGCTTCTTCGAGATTAGTACTTGCGTCACAGCAAGCGATTTTACGCTTTGCACTTGTTGACAACGGTCATTTGAAGTTTGGATGAAAAAGATGGTATTTAGGGGTCATTTTCAGCATGTTGTGGGTTGATTTATAATAAATCTTTTAGGCCTGGGCAATTCAACTGGTTGTTCAATGGTTATTGGGATATATTTGGGAAGTCTGGGCAATGGAAAATCCATGTTTCAAGCTGATAAATGACGATTTTCTATTTTTCCAGAAGTTCTAAATTTTTTACTTCAGTAGGGAAAAAATAGTAAATTTTACTAATTTTTGCTAAAAGTCTAGAATGAATGTCATAAAGTCCGTCCAAAAGCTAACGTCGATA